TGTCTCACTGCTCACTTCTGTCTTTTATATCTCAAGAGATTGCCTCAGGACACAATCCAGTCTTGTAGATCAGGTCCTGCCTTACACAACTGCCACCCATCCTCCCTCATTAACATCATAGAGGCAGGATTTACAACATACAGGCAAATCACACAGTACCAGGAATCATGGCCTAGCCAAACTGATATTTTTTTGGGGGGACATAATTCAAACCATGACAGCTCCTAACTGAAAGGTTGACAGTTCAAACACACCCAGAGGTGTTTTGTAAGACAGACCTGGTGATCTGCTTCTGAAAAGTCACAGCCTTGAAAACTGTGGAGCAGTTCCTGGCACACATGGGGTCACCATGAGTCAGAATCGAGTAGACAGCAACTGGTACTAGTATGCACATAATAGAACATATTGAATATTTATTTATTGAATATTCAACAATATTTATTGAATAAACTCATTAAACAAGTGTCAAGATTATCCAAGCCTGAAGTTCCTTCAGGGGTCTTCAAGAGGGGAAGATTTCAGGGTATAAAAATCAGATTATTTTAGGGAAGGTGCAGTGGTGTCACCCCCCACCCCCAAGGACCTCCTCCCGTACCACACCACACACAATCCTTAGTAGTGTTTTTTGTACTGTTACTCGTAAATCGTAATTCCCATATATCACTCCTTTTCCTTTAATTACTACTTTCTTCTCAGAAAAGTTACTGATACAGGTTCACAAATACTAATTACCACAATATTGTCGCTAAAACACTAGAAAATTTGACAAAATCAGCGATTATAAAAACAACCGCAAGAAAACAACAGCGTGTGCGTGTAGCACGTGCAGAGGAAACCACGTGAATTGGGTAATAATGACAGCTCTGACTGGAGCGCATTAGAAAGTTCAGAAAGTAAATTAGCAGAGAGTTTTAGCCTTGTAAGTATATTGATACATGTAAGCTAGGTTTAGGAAAAATGTTTTTGTTGTTATAACTACAGGACATTTTTATAAAAAATAATAAATTTTTGCTGAAGTACTGCACAAAAATTTTATAGACAGTCATTTTGGTGTCACCCCCACACCTCCCTAGGGACGTCACTGGTAAGATGGTCAGGGAAGGTCTCTGAAGCAGTGGCGCTTGTGCTGAGGCCGGCATGAAGTGAGCATGACAAGGAAACACCTGCTGGAGGAGGATTCCAGGCAGAGATAACAAGGAATGTAAAAGCCATGCGAGGAGAATGAGCTCGATCGTTTCAGGCGGAAAAAGAGGGATCTGGCAGTGGGGTGATGGAGAGAGCAGTAGCTCAGGCAGCCGGGGAGGGACAGGTAAGCATGCATTCAGAAACCTTTGGTGTATGGTTTCCAGGGAAACCCCCGGGAGGGGTCGGATTCTATTTTATGTACAAACGGCAGCCTTCACCATCCTAAACAGAGAATGGGCTGGTCGACGGTTCAACCAGGTCACGCCGGCTGCTGTGTGGGACATGTATGGGGTTGGGGGGCAGAAGGAGGGAGACGCTCCAGGCACGACAGGAAGGGGCTCAGACCTGAGCAGTATTTAAGAGGCAGCCTCCCCGGCACTGACGACGACCTGCGCGTCAGGACGCAGGATCGATCGAGACATTCCCCAGTCCTTTCCCGCTCCCAAGTTGCCGGCTGGAATTCCAAATTATGAGCTAGAGCAAGGGTGCTCAGGAGGTGTTCCTGGTACAGACAGAGAGGGCTGCAACTTCGTCACAGGCTCCGGATTCTCACAGACCTCGGCATGAATACCATATCTGGGCCTGGAGCGTGCTTATCTATAAAATGAAAATATTAACAGAACTGGCTTCCCGTGTATGCAGAGGTGCGATAACGCCGGCAAGTCACCGTGGGTAAACGAATCTGCGCAGGTTCAGACTGCTCCATTACAAGTGGGCGCAGTGCGCGTGCGCCCGCCTCTGCCTCGGCGTGAGCATGCCCCGGTCCCTGCCCTCAAAGTGAGCATGCGCCGGATCCCGCCTTCGGGCGCGCAGGCGGGGAGTCGCGGTCAGTTTGGCCGCGGAGCCGGAAGGGTACGGGTGTCCGAGGGTGAGGGGCGCGGCGGACCCGCCCGAGGCCGGGCGGCGGGGCCTTCGCCATGCCCGGGTTGGTGCTCTTTGGTCGGCGCTGGGCCATTGCCAGTGACGACCTGGTTTTCCCAGGGTTCTTCGAGCTGTTCCTGCGAGTGCTGTGGTAAGGGCAGGCGGCTAGCCCGGGCCGAGGAGGGCGCGGGGTGTGAGTGGCCACTAATCAAAGTTACCATGAGCGCCAGCCTGCCGAGCGCTGACCGTGTGGCCAGCACGGTTCCCAGCGCTGGTCGTGCATGCTTTTATCTGGTCCTCACGATCATGCGAAATAGGTACTGTTAGTATCCCCATTTCACGGATGGGAAACTGATGCCCCGAGAAGGTAGGCCTGGTCTGGACTTCCGTGCTGCAGGGCACGGTCACCCCTCTTGTGTGCGGCGCCGAGACCTGGCCCTGGGAGCCGCGAGGACATCATTGCCAACCTGAGTGATGGCCTCAGTAGCTCTTTTCGAGTCCAAGCCGAGAGTTTGTGTTTGCCACTCATGCAATCACTCTGCATGGGAAAGCACAGCGTCTTGAATCTGTAAAACGAAAGCTGGGAAATACTACCCATTGAAAACCAAAAGAAAAACAAACAAACCTTTGCTGTCGAGTCGAGTCCGACTTGTTAGCGACCCTATAGGACAGAGTCGAACAGCCCCATAGGGTTTCCAAGGAGTGGCTGGTGGATTCAAACTGCGACCTTTGGTTAGCAGCTGAGCTCTTAATCACCGCGCTACTAGGGCTCCACTACTCGATGAGTGGGGCTGAATTCCAGGAAAAGCAGACAGGTTTGGAATATACTTCTCTTTTGAAAGTATGGATTCCCCTTCACAGTAGCTCCCTTTGGAATCAGTGGGAAGTGGCATTTGGAGTGTAAAGTCTGTTCCCCCAGCGTCTGGGTAAAGAATAATATAATTGTTATTTTTTTAAAAAAGTAGATTTTTCTGGATGGTGCCCGGCTACCATTACTGAACATTTTTTTATTTTATTTATTTTGTGATTGTTATTGAGAATGTACCATTACTGAACATTTTGATCAAAGATTTCATAGCAGAATCCTGATCAAAAGGGGGAAAATGCAGAACAGAATTTCAAAGTCTCATGTACTCCAGACTTTCTGGAGCCATGGAGGCTGGATGAACCCTGAAACTGTAAACCTTAAACCAAAAATATCCTCTGATGTCTTCTTTATACCAAACAATAATTTAGCTTAATTAGTAAAGAATGTCTGCCTTGAGCATTGTTCTCATTTAAAGAACTACCTATATGGGATCAAACTAACAACAGCAACTGGAAAGGTCAGATAGGAAGCTTAGGGGACAGTGAGTTTATATTAATAGGGGAGGAACAACTTGGAAGAGGAGGGCAAGAATGGTTGCACAACTTGAAGAATGTAATCAGTGTCGCTGAATTACATATGCAGAAATTGTTGAATTGGTGTATGTTCTGCTGTGTATAGTCTCAACAATAAAAATTAGATTCTTGAGGGGACAGGAATATAAAAACATGAAGTGTTATGAGCTGCTTCTCGGTGGCTTTACGGTTCTCAGGGTGAGGCCCTCCTGAGATTATTTCCCCGTTATTTAGACACAGAGTCATAATATTATCACAAAACTGACAAAAACAGGAAAAGTTACTTAGTCCAGTTCCACCTCTGGGCTTGAATTCTTTATTGAATTCTTGTCAAGTGGAGCTCTGTCCTCTGCTTAAACACCTCTAATGGTAGATGGGTCAGTCATTACTTCCTTGTTTGGTGATGTCTCTAATGGTTCTGTACTGAATTACAAAGCATATTTGAGTCCACAGTATTTGTCCTTTCAAATTGGTCAATGTTCACCATGCAACGTCTTTACATAACTTCCTTCCTGTCCTCTCAGGTTTCTGTGACACTCACCAGATTATGAGTGTTTGCCAGTTTGTTGTTGATCCACAGAAGTAAAAATTCTCTCACTAATAATTCAGCAAGCATATTGTTTGGTGGTTTACTAGTTGTGTATTTCTGAGTCATGATGGGGCTGTTTTCCAGCGGCTCATGTCATATTTGCTTGCTTTGGGTTTTAAATGCCTCTCGTGTATTACAGCAGGCATGAGAGCATTATTATATAAGCATGGAATTGTAAGACTCTTAAAAAAAAAAAAAGGTGTACTCTTTAGTTGGCTTAATAAATCTTTTTTTTTTTTTTTAAATACTGTGTATTTGGTGAAAGTTTACACAGCAAATTAGGTTTCCATTTGACAGTTTCTACACAGATTGTTTAGTAACATTAATTACATTTTTCTCAATGTGTCAGCATTCTATTTAATTCTGTTCTGGTTGTTCCGTTTCCATTCCTGCTCCCTTATCTTCTCATCTTTACTTTAAAGTAATTGTTGACCTTTTGGTCTCATATAGATGGTTTTTTAATGCATCCCCGTACTCATGGGTAATATCCTTTATTTTGTGTGCCAGTCTTTTATTTTGCTAAACAGTAACCTCAGGACAGTTTTGGTTCAAGGTTTAAAGAGTATCTCAGGGCATAGTCTCAGGGTATCCTCTAGTCTCAACTGGTCCAGTAAGTTTAGACTTTTTAAGAATATGTGTTCTGTTCCACATTTTTCTCCCATTCTCTCAGGGCAGTTGATCTGTTCTTGATGAAAATTATCTTCCAAAGTGAACCTTGCCTTGTTTTGGAAAATATTGACTCTCTTTATTTCTTTGTATCATGTCTTCCAAAGCAGACATGAATCTGTGGATTCCATTTTTGATGCGCTCTTTTTCTCAACAGGTGGGTTGGCATTCTGGCTTTGTATCTCAGGCACAGAGAGAAGCTTGACTGTGCTGGTGGAGCCCTGCTCAGCAGTTACTTGATCGTTCTCATTGTTCTCCTGGCGGTTGTTATATGTGCTGTGTCTGCCATTGTGTATGTCAGCATGAAAGGTAAAAAAGAGCTTTTTCTATTTTACACCTATTCTTCACTTTAACAGCTTTATTTAGAGGTAATATGCATGCTATACAGTTGACCCATTTAAAATGTATAATTCAGTGGTTTTTAGTATAGTCACAGAGTTGTGCAACCATCACCACAGTCAATTTCAGAACATTTTCATCACCCCAAAGAGAAATCCTGTACCCATTAGCAATCACTCTCCATTTCCCCCTAATTCTCCTAGCCCTAGGCAACCACTAATCTAATTTCTCTCTGCCTATTTTGGACATCATATAAATGGAATCATATGGTATGTAGCCTTTTGGTCTGGATTCTTAAACTTGGCATACTGTTTTCAAGGTTCATCCAGGTTGTAGCATGTATTTAGCACTTCATTCCTTTTTTTGGCAGAATAATAATTCCGTTGTATAGACAGACCACAATTTGTTTATCCATTCATCAGTTGATGGACATTTGGGTTGTTTCCACTTTTTATTATTATGAATACTACTGCTGTGAACATTTGCGTACAAGTTTTTATGTGGACATATGTTTTCATTTCTCTTGGTTATATACCTAGGAGTGGAATTTCTGGGTCATATGGTAATTCTGTGTTTAATATTTTGAGAAACTGTCAGATTGCTTCCAGAGCAGTGATACCATTTTACATTCCCACCAGCAGTGTATAAGGGTTCTAGTTTCTCTGTGTCCTCCCAAACACTTGTTATCTGACTTTTTGATTATAACCATTCTCTTGGGTGTGTCTCTTCCTTGGCCGTGATTGAACCAGGAAGAACCGATTCAAAGCCCTGGTTGTAACCCTTACAACTTAATAACAGAAGCGCAAATAACCCAATTTAAAATTGGGCTAAGTATCTGACTAGACATTCCTTCAAAGATACGCAAATGGCCAATAAACACATGAAAAGTTACTCCCTATGATTAACTGTCAGGGAAGTGCAAACCAAAACCACAATGAAGTAACCAACTCACACCAAAGAGAATGGTTATAATGAAAAAGTCAGATAGCAAGTGTTTGTGAGGACACAGAGAAACTAGAACCCTTATACACCATCCAAGTATACATTTTAATTTTAGTGTTTTATGACTGCCTGAATGGGAATGTAGGAGGCATGCCTGTCAGATTATAGATGATGATGATAATAAAGCTGGGAGGAGGTGGCAGATGGACAGGGTGACGGAATCAAGATCTTAACCCTTTGGAATGATGGGCTGAAAATTATAAGATGATAGTTCATGGGGAGAAATGTTGAGGGGAGAGATGCCCATGTCAAAGTGTTTTCATGTGAAAAAGAGCTTAGGGTTTTGGGGATGACCAAGAAGTGTGAATGTGCCCACTTACTCTAGTAATATATAGGAAATAGAGCTCTCCTGTAGTTTAGTATCGATTCTAGTCATAAGTGCCATATTTTTACGCAAATACCGTACACCTTCTACGTTTGTTTGCCAGTCGCTTCCTCCTCCTCCAAGGTATTTTCATAAGCATACTGTGCTTTTTTTTTTTTTTAACAGCAACACGTAAAAAAAATTGGCATAGCAGCATTTATGAATATACCTCACTGGGACAGAAAGTGATTGGCAAACAAATGTAGAAGGCGCACGTTGTTTGCATAAAAATATGGTACATGGGGTCTGGATCAAAGAAGGCCCAGATCTGTGGTCCGTGTCAGTCTTCCGAGTCTGGATTGTCATTGGTGCTGGATGCTAAAGAGGCAGAAACTTAATGTGCGCGTGGAGCTTTGGCAGTCTGGAGTTTTTCAATGAAAGCAGGATTTCTAAAAGGTAAAGAATTTACTGTGGTGTCATTTCAGATCAAACATTAGCTAGTTTATTTGTCCTTTTTGTTCACCTCCCTTCTGGTTAGACCACTGTAGTGATAGATTCAGACTGGAAGAATTAAGTGTAAACTTCTTTTTTCCTTAAATGTTTGTTTTTCTTCAGATATTTTTGGTGGTATCGGGTACAGTCACAGCCCTGTGATGGGTACCCATGTTCACTTAGCTTCTCCTTCTAGACATTTGCATAACTCCTGCCCCGCCATACACTCATTGCGCAGAGCTCAGAAACATTTGCATATCACAGGGGTGTTTTGAGTTGCCTCTCCAACCACCACCTCCAAATAGAACTTGGTTTTGTTCGGGACTGCCCTCCACCTGTCACATACCAAGTATGTGTCAGAGAAGTCAGTCCAGTGCCAACTCCCGGAGTGATCCCAGTGTTCAGGAGTGGACATGGCACCAAATTGGGGCCAGTGAAATTCAGGGAGACTTTGCTGGGATGTTCTGGGAAAGTCTTTCCTTGCTCCTGTAGGAAAGATCCAGAAGCAGCTATTGTTTTCCCTCTGGATGGTGCTGTGCACGGATGAGCTGCAGGATTGCAGCTGTATCTCCAGTCAGAGCCCAATCTGAGTATAGGGAGGGCCAAGCCATAAGAATCCCAGGGAGGTGGAGCCGGGGCCACTGGGCAGGGCAGCCTGACACCCGGCCTGCCTCTGGACTTCCTGTACTTACTGTTTCGAAACCAGTTTGAGTTGGATTTTCTGTTAGTTGTGGCTAGAGATATCCCAACTAAACTGAAAGCAATGTTTTATAAAACATGTCGGCTTAATTCCCAATTTGTTACAAATAATAGCATATGCCTTTTTTAAAAACAATGTGTGAATACCATAAAGAAAGTTTAAAAAAATAAAAAGGCAAATGGGAAAAATGTTTATAACACATGAGACAAAGATCCAATCGCCTTAATGTATAAGGGCTTCTACAAATAAACAGGAGTCCCTGGGTGTTGCAAACGGTTAAGCATCGGAGAAAGGCCTGGCGATCTGCTTCCATAAAGCATACAGCCAAGAAAACCCTGTGGGGAAGTTCTGGTCTGTCACACGGGATGGCTGTGAATCGAAAATCAACTCAACAGCACCTAACAGCAACTAGCCAAAAGGTTGGCTGTTTGAACCCACCCACAGGCGCCTTGGAAGACAGCCCTAGTGATCTGCTTCCGAAAGGTCACAGCCTTGACAATCCTATGGAGCAGTTGTCTGCACACATGGGGTCGCCATGAATCAGAATCAACTCAATGGCAACAAACAAAAACAAGAAAAAGATGAATAGTCTATAGAAAAATGGGCAAAGAACATGAACAGACAATTCACAGTAAAGAAACTACAAATGACTTTTAGGTGTATAAAAGGTGTTCAATCTCAGTCACAGTAAGGAAAATTCACTTAGCTGGTACACTGAGTTGGTGAGGGTATGCAGAAACGGCACCTCATTTTGTTGGTAGAAGTGTAAATTGATTTAATCTCTTTGGAGGCCAATTTTTGTGTGTCTGCACAGGCATGCACGTGTGCATATCAGTTTTTTGTATATATTTACAAAAGATTGGAGAAGCTTAAGTACCCGTTGGAGCCCTGGTGGCACAGTGGTTAAGCTTCTGACGGCAGTTGGAATCCACCAGCTGCTCCTTGGAAAACCTGTGGGGCAGTTTGACTCTGTCCTGTAGGGTCGCTAAGAATCACATCAACTCAGTGGCAATGGGTTTGGTTTTAAGTGTCTGTCAGTAGGATGCAGGTTAGGTGTGATGGCCTACTATGGGTCTGTTACAAAGGAGAAAATACTTAGTGAACAGATAAGGAATGATTTCCAGTGTGGTGAGGTGGGGGCATTGTTGTATATAGTTTGTTACATTTTTCTTAAGGAGATAGACATTTCGTTATGCAGAGACTATCCCTGGGAGGAGATACAAGTAACTAGTTTACTTCTAGGGAAAGGAAAGGAAGAACTGGGACCCAGGGGTTGTGGGAAGGCTTAATATTTTCTTTGTACTTACTTGAACTGTTTGAACATTACATCATTTATACGTGTTACCTTCCCAAAATCAGTGAGTTTGTTTCTTTGTTTACAAATTGCTAAGTTTACGTATATTTTTAAGTAACTATTAGCACAATTGTCAAATCTTATTCTTGATTCATGGGTAATTTACCTTGCCCCTTTTGTTTCATAAGTCATCTTGATAATCTGTCATTTGAGCAAAAAGGCAATATTTATTTAGCTTTTGTCTAGCATACCTCTCCAAAACAAACACCACAGTTGTAAGACTCTTTGGAACAAGTACAATTCAGTCACCCTTTATCCCAAAATCTGATGTTTGTGTATTTACTGCTCCTCTTTTGCTTGGTCAGAAGTACAACTCCGTGGGGAAAAAAATCTGCTGATATTGCTGTGGTAGCCTCTGTTTTTTTATTCGAGAACTTCCCAGACAGCATTGTATTGTTCCTACCATGTGGGAGGTTTAATTGGGAAAGGTCCACCCTGGTGATGACAGCCTTTGATTTATATAAGAACACCCTCGGCATGCCACGTTTGGGTATGATTGTAGGCCATCTCCTGGCATCTCATCTGCATTTGTATCTCAAGAGCTCATTGCTCTTCTTGTGCTAGTGAAGGTTCCTGCAACGACTTGAGGTGTTTAACAGAAAGATTCTTTTTGTTGCTCTGCCTTAACTGGCTGGGCCTTATGAAAGACAGTCAGGGTACTTAAGGAAGGCTGTGTTGAGGACATTCCACTCAGGAATGTAGCTGTGCTCCTTAATTACAGGGCCATCGGCATGACAGTACCTACTGTCACAGCCAGTCCATGCTTGCGACTCTATCTGGGGTTTAGGATTTGGTGAGAGGAACCCATGCTGTTTCTGGGCAGGCATAACTATATGTATGTAAATGTATATGTATGAACATGTGTATGTGTTTGTACACCCGCGTGTGCACATACACACACACACATATATACGAACACACTGATTTTCTTTATTATCTAGTTTCTTTTCTGGAACCATAATTAGAATGTCTTAGTCATCTAGTGCTGCTATAATGGAAACACCACAAGTGGATGGCTTTAACAAAGAGAAATTTATTCTCTCACAGTTTAGTAGGCTACAAGTCCAAATTCAGGGCGTCAGCTCCAGGGGAAGGCTTTCTTTCTCTCTGTCGGCTCTGGAGGAAAGTCCTTGTCATCAGTCTTCCCTCGGTCTAGGAGCATCTCAGCACAGGAACTTCAGGTCCAAAGGACACGCTTCGCTCCCGGCGCTGCTGTCTTGGTGGTATGAGGTCCCCAACTCTCTGCTTGCTTCCCTTTTAACTCTTGTAAGATAAAAGGTGGTGCAGGAAACTCCCCTTACATTGGATCAGGGATGTGACCTTAGTAAGGGTGTTGCAATCCCATCCTAATCCTCTTTAAAATAAAATTACAATCACAAAATGGGGGACAACCACACAATACTGGGAATCATGGCCCAGTCAAACTGAGACACACATTTTTAGGGGTACATAATTCAATCCATGACACAGAATAACTCCCTTGCTTGCTTCCCTCTTCATGTATTTACTTCACTAGTGCATTAACAAGGAGCCCTGGTGGTGCAGTAGTTAAGCAATCAACTGCTAACAGGTCGGTGGTTCGAACCCACCAGCCACTCCATGGAAGAGAGATGTGACAGTCTGCTTCCATAAAGATTACGCCTTGGAAACCCTCTGAGGCAGTTCCACTCTATCCTATAGGGTAGCTGTGAATCAGAATCAACTCTATGGCAACAGAGTGCGTTATTGATAGTTATCATGACTGTTGGAATTTCAAGTCCAGGTACTACTGACAGTATTGCAGTATTTCCTTATTAAGAATCCCAGCCCTTTAGGAAGTAGTATGTATGCCCATATTGCTTTCTGTTTCTCCCAGGCTGATTGGCTATTGTTATACACTCCAAAAAACCAAACCAAACCGTTACCGTACCTCCATATCCGCAGGTTTCATATCCATGGGTTCAACAAACCACAGATCAAAAATATTTGAAAAAAATATATATATATTCGGGAAAAAAAATGGTCTTTTTTTCCTTGTCATTATTCCCTAAATATTACAGTACTGCATAACAGCTATTTACATAGCATTTACATTGTATTAGATATTATAAGTAATCTAGAGATGATTTAAAGTATATGGGAAGATATGTGTAGATTACATGCCATTTTATATACGGGACCTGAGCATTTGCAGATTTTTGTATCCATGGGGGGTCCTGGAACCTATCCCCCACGGATACCAAGGGATGACTGTATTAGTTTTCTCAGGCTGCCATAACAAAGTACCACAAACTGTGTGACTTAAAGCAACAGAAATTGATTGTCTTACAGTTCTGGAGGCTGGGAGTCTGCATTCAGTGTGTTGGCAGAGCCACGCTCTCTCTGAAGGCTCTAGGGGAAGATCCTTTCTTGTCTCTCCTGGCTGCCGGTAGCCCAGGCGTTCCTTGACTTGTGGCTGCATCACTCCAGTCTCTGGCCATGGTCTCCACATGACCATCTTCCCTCTGTATCTGTCTCTTCTCTTTTTTATAAGGACACCAGTCATATTGGATTAGGGCCCACCCTACTCCGGTATGACCTCCTGTTAACTAATTACATCTGTAGAGACCCTGTTATTTCCAAATAAGGTCACATTCACAGGTACCAAGGGTTAGGACTTCAGAGTATCTTTTGGGGTGACACAGTTCAAGCCATAGCAGTGCCTAACAGACTCTAAGTAATTCTAAAAAAAAATCATTTTTGGAATTTAAAAGGCCTTTTCTTACCAAATCATTCTTTAGATCTTAGATTTTTTCCAGTCACTGTTTTTGTTTTAACCATGTGGTGTTTTTATGTTACTTAGATTAGTGTTTATCAAACTTTTTCCCAAGGGAAGAGAATCGGTGTTTTCTATCAAGAACTAAAGCACACAGTCCTCTGCTGATACTTGGATTTGTTTTACAAATACAGTAAACTGTCATCTAAGTGCTAGGCGTCTTCACATGGCCCTGCACATCAGAATTGTTTGCTTCTCTAAGGTGAGACCCACGCGACATGGATAAGGCCAAGGGCCAGGCCGTGCGGACCCAGTTTATGTCTTAGCAAGTAGCTGTTAAGCTCTCTGAGCCTCAGTTTCGTCATTTGTAAAATGGGAGTAACGACCATATTGCAGTCTTTGTAAAGATTAAGGAATAATGGTTAGAAGGTGTTTGGGATGTGCTGGGAACAACAGAGGCCTTAACTAGATGGTAGAGCTTGTTTTCCTGGCTGTTAGAACTTGGGAGACCATATGTCCTGTTTTCCCTGGGACCGTTCTGTTTTGTGCTTGTTGTCCCAGCATAGTTATTAATAGTGCCCCCTTAGACTGTCAGAAGTATCCTAATTTAGACAGATTATGTGGTCACCCTAGTTAGAACCCAGGAGTGTGTTTAATCCCTGGGAAGTCTAAAAAATGAACCTGAGACATTTTGCTATGCTTTCTGTGCCTCACTTTCTATTTGCCAGTTACAAATAGAAAAAGTCAGGGGTGAGTGTGCTTATCGTACAAACATGTGCTCTGATATCTGAACTTTTGTAGAAAGGAAACTTTTCACCTCTGAGGAGGCAAGTGCCCAGTCTGAATGTTCTCTGTATTTCAGGAACCATCTGTAACCCTGGACCACGGAAATCTATGTCTAAGCTGCTGTACATCCGTCTAGCGCTCTTTCTGCCAGAGGTAGTCTGGGCATCTCTGGGGGCTGCCTGGATACAAGGAGTTGAGTGTGACAGGACTGTTGTGAATGGCATCATTGCAACTGTCGTTGTCAGGTGAGGCCTTCTGTTTTGTCACAAATGCATTTGAGATGTTGGTAAACCTTCCTGAGTAACTCGACACAACACTGTGCAGCTCTCCTCAAACGGTTGGAAATTGGACGTTTTGAGTAAATCAGGAGAGTTTAGAGAGATGCTTCTTTAGACATAAGAAAGAATCCGTCTTCCCTTATGCACTTGTTGATGTGATTTCCCCCGTTATGGGTTCACACTGTTCTGCACTCCCTTCTCTTACAATAAGCAAGAAAACTGAAGACCAAAGCAAGGGCCAAAACTGAAGGTAGAATGAGAACAAATGCAGTGTCAGTAATTTTGACAGGGAACTGTACTCCAGAATGATTTAAAAAAAACCAGAAAACCAAATCTGTTGCCGTCGAGTCGATTCCAACTCATAGCGACTTTATAGGACAGAGTAGAACTGTTCCATAGGGTTTCCAAGGAGTGGGTGGTGGATTCAAACAGCCGATCGTTTGGTTAGCAGCTGCGCTCTTAACCACTCTGCCACCAGGGCTTCCCAGAATGATAAGGTTTTAACATTTTCCAGGCTGAAACTCTTAGAGATGATCTAGTTACATCCCCTGTGTTGTAACAAGGAGACTTGCTGCTGTCCCTGCCTTCCCATGATCACACGGCCAGTCAACTGTAGTCAACTTCCTGGAGGTTCATCTCCTCAGTAGCACATGCATTCATGAGTCCTCAGTGCCTCCAAATCGTGGGCAGTCAGTGAGTAGTTAAACACATGGACGAAAGACCTATCAGAATATCCTGTGACGTGGCAAGATTCTCTTGGTTTTACCAAGAAGTAAGGGCCTGGTTCATGCAGTGTGTCAGGGGGCCGTGGAGAACAAATTGCAGCTGCTCCTGTGCCCAGACAGCTCCTTTTTTTCTTTTTTAGTTCTTTACTTTTAGGGCTTTGCTCTTGTGGGGCCTGGGTTAGTCATGGGCTTATGAGGAACTTTCTAGAAGAAACGAGTTGCTTGCTGCAGCCAGGTTCTAGGACGTCCGTGCCCTCCTCAGTAACTGGAGCCTTAGTTGTGTACGTGCAAAAACAACCCAAAGGAGGGTGGCTGTGGCTCCAGTACCTGCACGTCAGGCCCACTGTCACCAAGCCTTTCCCTCTCTCTGTTTTGCAGTTGGATTATCATCGCCTCCACTGTGATTACCATTATCATTGTCTTTGACCCACTGGGGGGGAAAATGGCTCCATATTCCTCTGCTGGTCCCAGTCACCTGGATAGTCATGACTCAAGCCAGTTATTTAATGGCCTGAAGACAGCAGCTACAAGCGTGTGGGAAACCAGAGTCAAGCTCTTGTGCTGTTGCATTGGGGAAGACGACCATACTCGAGTTGCTTTTTCGAGTACGGCAGAGCTTTTCTCAACCTACTTTTCAGTAAGCCGAAGGGGTCTGGTTTGGTCTTTTTTCTGTTTAAGTAAATGCCTCTTGTGTTAAGATGAGTACACTGCCCTTTGAGCCACTCCCCCTTGTTCACATAAAGCAGCTGGTGAGAACTTGGTGTCGTGGAGTGTAGGGGGCGGCGGGAGGTGTTCTGCCGGGAGTGGGTACTCTGGGAGCAACTAAGTGTTTTTCAGACCCCACCTTTCTGGTCGGGTGCATCTTGTATTGACACCTGTTCATTACACTGTCAAGATTTTGAATTTGCTTTTAAGGAATGAAATAATGGAACCTGCACATTTTGGAAGCCAATGGCCTTTTCCTGTGTCCTCTGTCCAGCTGGTTGGTGCTCAGCAGATACCGGAGTAGGCAGTGTCAGTATGTGCCCAAGGTCGTTCAGACATTGGCCTCTTAAACGGCTTTATGTCATGTTTGAAATGGCAGAATATTCTGTTTTTGAAGGAAAGTTTGGATAGATTATCGCAGTGCAGAAGAGTGCTATCATTCTAGAGCGATTGCTCCAGTGGTTTGGGAATACTTTTTTTTCTTTCACCCCCAATGTGTTATTTTGCCTTTTCCCGTCATGTCCTCTGATCAACTGTTATTGGGTTCAGTGTGAAGACTAAGTAAGGCCGGTGGAGGAGCTGTCGCGCCATGCTGCACACCTGCCCGTGTCTTTGTCTCCATCTCTGGTACAATCTGGCTTCACACAGTTCTGGGCTGGCCCTGTAGCCCGGCACTGGGCCATTGCCACAGCCCCATGTGGGGATCAGAGAGGTGTGACCTGTAAATAACTTTAAAGAAGTGCTTCGACTTCCTCTTAAGCTATTCGGAAGGAGGCCGGTGCATAGCCCTTTCTAATGAGTTAGAGGTGCATGGGGGAGGCTGAGGGTTCCTGACTCCTCCATATCTGTCCTGAAGTAAAAGGGCAAGGGCAGGCTCAAGAGGACTAACTCTGTTGCTTTACTAGTTCTGGGTTCTTTCGGAGGCTTGCTGTACCCTGCGAGTGGAAGTTCAGTCTCATAAATTTCTGCCATGGAGTCTGTTTCAACAAAATCTTTCCAGAATCTTGAGAAATGAGAGTATAAATTTGGGCTAAGATTGGCCCTTACTACAAAGATGTGGAATTTATCCATTCATTTATTCCCCAACTTTACAAAAGATTTGAAGTAGGTTAAAAATAGCTAAAGTCACTTGGAGTGAAATTTTAAGGCAAACAAAAAAACCCAAACTTGTTGCTGTCGAGTCGATTCGGACTTATAGTGACCCTATAGGACAGAGTAGAACTGCCCCATAGAGTTTCCAAGGAGCAGCTGGTGGATTCCAACTGCCAACCTTTTTGTTAGCAGTGGAGCTCTTAACCACTGTGCCACCAAGGATCCATTTTAGATCAGCAACGATTTTATGTTCTTCAGTGGATTTGTGTGAGGGAGGGATAGTAAAAAAAAAAAATGCTCAATCATGTATAGAAGAAGTCCTGCAAGGAACGGTGTCGTTTAGAATACCTTTGTTCATGTGTGTGTGTATGTCAGAATGCTGTAAAACTGAACTCTCAGGAACTCATTGGCAGTTCCCGGGTTGCTTAATGAGCCCTCGTGGTTGCCCATCCAGGACACTGATCTGGTGCCCAGCGACATCGCGGCGGGCCTCACCCTGCTCCATCAGCAACAGGACAACATCAGGGATAAGCAGGAGCCTGCTGAGGTGATCAGCCATTCCTCAGGGACGTCCCAGGTGAGCCCGTGTTTCTCTTGGATTGTAGAGTTGTGGACATCTACACCTGTGTGTGGTTTTACAGAATATACAACTGACAGGTAGCAATTTCAGTAGCACTTGGTTGGAATCTGATTTGCGGCTTCTGTTGGTTGTAGTTGGTCACCTGTTAGGTGAGGCGTCTCCCCCTCGCTTGGGGTTCAGATAGTAGAGCACGTTCCTGCCCTGTTCACCACCCATCGTGTTTTCACAGCATTCTGTTTTAGGAAATTGGCCGTTGGATGCTGCACATCAGAAAAATCCCTCCTGGAAGGGACTCAAGTCTCCCAGGGAGTGTTGGCTTTCTTCCCTGGGTGTGGGGAGCCGGAACAGTTCAGCTTTGTTGATGGTCATTTTCATGCCACAGACTTTTAATGCTTTTGAAAGAGAAAATTGCACATAGCCTGCATGTATTTTTCTGCCCCTTATTAAGAACCCCTCCCTCCCCCGCACCCCAGTTCTTGGCATGGAAATCTGCTAGTGTGTACATGCATCCAGGCAGGCAGTCACCAGCTTATTTCACCAGGAGTTAGAAAGTATCTTTAGTCTCTTCTGCTGTTAATCCCCACTGCGTTGCTCCATTCCCCTAAAATGAGGAGGCAGTTTCAGTCTGTATTTAAGGCCCAGTTTTCCCTGTGGAAGTCCTCTGAGAGGTCTGTTCCCTGAGGAAAAAGAGGGAAGTATCAGGGATTTGAGTTCAGGTTTAAGATTTTAGTGTGTCCATCCTCTCCATAATAGGGTCCCCTAAACACAAATCTCTTTTCCTTCTCTTCCAGGAAGCTGATTTGGATGCAGAATTAGAAAATTGCCATCATTACATGCAGTTTGCAGCAGCTGCCTATGGTTGGCCCCTCTATATCTACAGAAACCCATTCACAGGGTTTTGCAAGATCGGTGGGGACTGGTAGGTGGACACAGTCGGAGGTACTAGTCTGCCTTCTGGATGTGACTTGCTGGGGTGCCTGTGCTTTATCTTCTAAAAAACTTACATTTCCCTATTTAAAAAAAAAAAAAGAAGAAGAAAAACTTTCTATTTTGGAATATTTCAAAGACTTGCAAGAATAGTACAAGGGACTCCCACATATCCTTTCTCCAGAGTCACCAGTTGTGACTCATTTTTGTCACTTGTGCCATATCATTCTCTCGGTATATACATTTTTTCCCCCTGAACCATCTGAGATTTTGTTGCAGACTTTATGCCCCTTTATCTATAACTTCTTCAGCACATATTTTCTAAAGGCAAGGACATTCTCTTACATAACCAGAGTGCAGTTATAAGATTCAGGAAAGTCACCATTGATCATGAGCTAATTTACAGTTAATATTCAGATTTTTGCAATTGTCCCAGTAGTGTCCTTTATAGCAATTTTTCCTTTGATCCAGGATTACACATTGCCTTTAATTGTCATGTCTTCTTAGTCTCCTTCAGTTTGGAACAGTTCCTCAGCCTGTCTTTCTCTTTCATGATACTGACATTTTGAAGAGTACAGCCCAGATTATTTTGTGGAATGTCCCACCGTTTGCATTTGTCTGACGGTTTTCTCATGATTAGGTTCAAGTTAGGCATTTGTGGCAGAAATGCTATACAAGGATGTGTCCTCCTTAGTAGCTCATCAGGAGACACATAGTGGTAGTTTGTTCTGTTGTTAGTGATGTTAAAACTGATCACTTGGTTAAGATGTCTGCCGGGTTTCTCCATGTAAGAGTTCTCTCTCTTCCCTTTGTAAATAAGAAGTCATCTTTGGGGAGATACTTTGAGAACATTTAAGGATTCTGTTCCTCTTCAAACTTTCATCCAATAGCATCCGTTGATGATTCTTATCTAAATCAATTATTACTAGGATGGTTGCAAAGTGGTGATTTTTCTAAATTCATCATTTTTTGTACATTAGTTAGCATTCTACTTTAAAGAAGAGTTTTTTCTTCCCTACTATTTATTATCAGTATGGGTTCATAGCCTCTGATTTTATTCAATGGGTTATAATTCATTACTGTTCATTTTGTAGTAAGTATATTCATTTGATGCCCTTCATGCTGGCTGCTGTATCCTTTTGATATGTCCCTGTTGCTTTTTGAGCACTTCCTTATTTTTTGACATAACAAGATATTACAGGCTTATCTTGTACTTTCCCTGGAATAATTTCTTCAAGGCACACTCTTCTTCTAGTGTAGAGAATGGTATTTAGAAACCAGACTCTGAGTGGTAGGTGTGCCCATGCTTCTGGGCCTTTTTAGTGGACAGAGTTGGAGAGAAGTAGCAATTTCTTGTGATTCAAATCAATACGTATTTATTTTAAAAGTCACGAATTTATACTGATGTCTTTTAATTCCAGTCCAGTGTCACAGAGTCTTTCCTTGCTTTTCCCATACTGTGTCTGTCTCTGTGTCCTTCCACAGAGAGAACCCTGGCACTCCACAACAGCCCTCAGTACTCCCAAAATGGTTTCAGAACTGTTATACCCCATACTGCTACCAAAACCACATTGACTTCATAGTGTGTGAGATTTGTTTGCCGTTCTTTTTGTTTTCAGACATTGAGTACTGTGTTCAGAACTTACTGGGATTAGTTCTTTATGTTATTTGTGTCTCCTTCAGTGTGGTTTTGATATTAATTTGAAATAGTTTGATTCATTTGTGTCTCTTGGCATTCACTTCTAAGGTCTCACCCATCCTTGTTGATTAAATTTATTTTTTGAACGTGTAAAACATTAACATGACTCTAGGAGCAAAACTCTTGTAAAAGGTACACATCGAAAAATCTTTTATCTTTTAAAGGCCACTATGTGTTAGCCAGACTCAGTCGTGAACATTGTAAACTCTAATCCTCATGTTTGCTGGGGAAACGTGACAGTGAGGATGATGTTTCTTCGTAGAGAGCTCAGATTGGTACAGTAACACTTTTGCCCTTTTTTTAGTTGCAGAAGCAGAACAACTGAGTATGAGTTGGTTGGAGGTGATCAGCTCAACTGTCATTTTGGCTCTATCCTGCAGACAACGGGGCTGCAGTACAGGGACTTCATCCACATAAGCTTCCATGACAAGGTACCTGAGAGGCAACGTTTTCAGTACTTTTCCCATTGTGTTTAGAATCAGACAGTGGTTTTCCTTTTGGATCCTGGGAGTCCTTTGAGATTCTCGTGGAAGTTGTGAATTGTTTCCCCAGAAAAGTGTGTTTAAACACACATACACAAACACACCCCAAGTTTTACATATGACTTTAGGGGTTCTCAGATCCCTTTGAATCCTGTCCGTGTCCATGGATCCAGGTTGACCCAGGTTTAATATAAGATAGAGCAAAACTGATAGAACAAAACTATGTTTCTCACACAAGCCCATCTTTTATGGTTGAACAATGAGTAGCATTTGGTATTAATCCCACACAGGTTTCTGGGGTTCAGTCACCTTGTTCCTGGGTCTGAGTTCCATCAATGGGAGCACAGTGGTTTGTACAGTTGGTAGGTGTGAGAATCACCTGGAGAACTTGGTGAAACTACAGGAGCTAGGCCCCATCCTATGTCAAGCCTCAGTGGCGCATCTTAGCTCTCCAGGTGTTTCTCAATTTGAGCGCTATTGATGTATAGCCATTCTCAACCTTTTCTGCCTAATAGAATCACATAGAGGTGCTTCTAGAACTCTGGAAGCCCAGGCCACAGCCCCGGTCAACTCAGAATCTCTGGAGATGGGACCCAGGCTTAGAATTTTAAGCTCTCGGGTGATTCCAGGGTGCAGACAATGGAGAACCCTAATGCACTGCTCTCTAGCCATTGGCTCCTAAACAACTGCGTTTAGAATCACCTGGAGAGCTTTCAACAATCCTGATGCCGAGGCCACACCAGACCAGCGCAGGCAGAATATCTGGGCCGAGAGCACTGGCTCAGGATTCTCTCAGTGTCCTCAGTTTAGGGGCCACCAACAACCTCTGCATTGCCCTTTACTGAGTGGTGATGGAAGAAAGACCTGATATGTCTAAAGAGAATTTTTCACAAAGTTTCTGTCTGTTCTGTGAGTGCCTTCAAGGAGTCCACACACAATTTAATCGTGTGAGAATTTCCCTGGTAGAAGCAGAGAAAATGCAATCAGCAGTCTTTTCTGCTTGCTCCAGATAGGTGACTTTCACCATAAAAAGGGGCCATCATCCTCATAAATTGCTACCATTTATCGATTGCCGACCACAAGCCAGACGTTTTCTCCTCTGAGTCTGCACACCAGCCTTGAGGGTTCGTGATCTCGTATCCTCTTCAAAGATGAAGAGACGGAGAGGACTGGGGACATGTGCTTGAGGGCCGAGTTCCCAGGCGGGTCAGCCCAATTCCAGCACCCTTGTAGTGATCTCTCAGGACTCTGACTCTGAAGGCATGAGCCTGCAATTACAGATCTTAGCTGGCTGGTTCTAAACAATAGTGGATGCTTATACAAGACCAAAACCTTTGTACCTCAACTTGTCACCAGTTGCCATCGAGTCGATTCCCACTCCTGGCGACCCCACGTGTGTCACAGTGGAACTGTGCTCCATAGGGTTTTCAGAGGCTGACTTTTTGGAAGTAGATTGCCAGGACTGTCTTCGAGGTGCCTTTGGGTAGACTTGAACATCCAGCCTTTCAATTGGCAGCCGAATGCATTATCGCTTCCCCTCCCGCCCAGGTCTGCACCCCCTACTTAGACTTATACAAAGTAGGTAACTCTGGAAGGGTTCTGACTGGTGAGACCTTGTGCTTGATGAGACTGGTCCCGCCCTAGTAGGTAGCAGGCTGGTGGTGACTGAAGAGGGTCTCTGGTGAACAAACAGCACCTGCTAGTCCTTGGCTGGAGGGGTGGCGTGTAGTTGATAACCACAGAACTCAGTGTATCCATTGTCTCCCTGGTGATGCTGGGGACAAAAACGAGGTAACGTTAGATCTTCTTCCCTCTACGACAACATAGTAGAGGTCGGAGGAAAGCTAAGAGCAAGAATAAGAGGTGCTTTTGCAGATGACGGCATGTTTTCATTTATAGAGTATTAAACTCATCCTACTCTATAATGAGGCTGAGAAGAGAGAGAGGTTCGTGTGCCCTTCTTTCTGTGTTACAGGTCTCAGGTTTTCGTGGCAGCAGTAAGCTGCTATATCATCAGAGATCCTGGAACGGGCTCGTTCATATCACTAGGTGCATGTTTTCATATTTAGGCCTCATGCCTGTCTCTCTGCCCCTCAGGTGTATGAGCTTCCCTTTCTAGTGGCTCTGGATCACAGGAAAGAGTCTGTTGTGGTTGCTGTGAGAGGAACCATGTCCCTCCAGGTAATGGGCCTGCCTGCCGTGTTACACCTTGAGGCGGGGGTGGGCGCCAAGAGGTCCTGTGCCGGCACCAAGAAGAACCGTTGTTAAGTGACAGCATTAGACACAAGGAAACGGGACTTACTGGGGATATGAAACGGGGAAGTGAATCTGCACTGTGAAATATTCCCTTTGTGAAAAAATGGACGAGGTTGTTCCTTTTAATGGGGAGACATCAGACTCGGATGGCAGTAGGTCTGGCTCCCAGCAGAGGAGTTCCTAGAGGGACACCTGCTTGCCTCCCTTCCCACCTGACTTCCCTTGGCGTGCCTGGCCAGCCCTGACTTGGGTGACCCTACCCTCCAGTTTTCTGTACCCAAAGCCCCACAGCCAGATGGGACAGAAGTCCGGTGTTGCTGGCCAGAATCACACAACTGTCTTATCTACTCCACCCTGTTCCTGCCCTGGTCCACACCGGGCCTGGTGCGCCTGCTGGGGGACTCCGTCGTTTACCCCGCGAGTCCCCGTGTGCCTGCTCCCCTCAGGGTCCAGTGAAAACCGCCATTTATTGATCCCCAGACCCAGCGATCCCTCTGCCTTCCTCATACCAGATTCCTCTGCCCCTAAGGCACTTTCTTCCTTTTGAAACCTCCTGTCCATCTCTGTGTTGCTCTTTTTGGTTTCTTCTTGGTCGTTCCTCAGTCTCATTTCCTGGTTCTTATTTCTCTGCTGACCCAGAAATGCAAGGAGACTCAGACTCTGTCCTTTCCCAGACCTACCTGGGCCCTGTCTCTAGTCCTATCACCCCAGTCTGTCCTTTATACCGTCCAGAACGCTCTTGCTAAAACATGGGTCAGGTCGTAGCACTCCTCAGAAACCACTGGCAACTTCCCACACTTTTAGTCTGAAGTTCAGGTTCTGTGTCACAGCTTTGTTGGTGCGCGTGGCCTGGCCCCAGCAGCCCCCCAGCTCCTGCTCCACCCACCAGTGCTCACCCTCGTCCTCCGGTCTAATGCGCCTCATACTCTCTTAGATTTCTATTGGCCGTTGACTGAGCCCCTTGAGGACAGGAACATACTTTGCTCAGAGCCCTGGCACGAGCTTTGGGCTTCACGGACACTTAGAAAGCGTGTGTAGTGAGGGACGTCCGGGGGTCTCCCCTACAGTTCAAGCCTGGCCCAGAGCTGGCTGTGCACCGGGTGCTTCGTTGCCAGCTTCTCTCCCAAGTCCAGGTGTCACTCTGCTGTCTGACTAGGGAGACTCACCCCCTGCTGATCCCAGGAGGGGGTGTTGTGGGGACAGGGACTCCCCATCAGCTTGGATGGCGACAACCACCCACCACCCTGAACTCCTGAGTGATGGGCTCTCCCCTTACTGTGTTCTGTTATAGGACATCCTCACCGATCTGTCTGCAGAGAGCGAGACCCTGGACTTAGGCTGCGAGTTACAGGACTGTGTGGCGCACAAGGTAGAGGCCCCGGGGTTGTGGTCTGGAGTGTTCCATGAAGGGGAAACTCCGAGGGGCCAGGAGTTTCCAACTCTGGATCTCTCCCATTAATGCCACCACATCCCAGATACTCATGCATGCCAAGTGCTGGCTGAATGCGGGCTTTTATTCTTCATTGCTAATTCTTACAGCAGCCCCACGGGGTCTTTTAGAGAAAGTTACTGAGGTTCAGGGAGATTAACTTGCTTTAGTCCACATAGGAAATAAATGTCAGACTGAATATTTGAGCCCAGATCTGTGGCTCAGAGCGCATGCTTTTTTCCCTCTCAATTAAAGTAATACGTTCTCACGGTGAAAAAAAAAATTTGGTACAATACAAAGCAGTATACAGTGAACAATGAGTCTGTGTCATGTCCCTCCACCCCCCACCTCTCCTGAGAGGCGGACGCTGTGAGCTGTTCCTGCATTCACGCCATAAGTTCTCTGTGCAGATATAGCAACACCCGGGGGCTTGGTTTCACTCTTACTGCGCTGTGCATGTGGACTCTGGGCGGGGATCTGTCAGCGCCTCCAGAGGAACGGAAAGCTGCCTGCCCAGAGCAGTTTTCAGCATGTAGGGGAGAGTCTGGCATGTGTCCCTCCCAAAAATTCACAGAGGTCACTTCTGAGGAGAAGCTTCAGGAAGTAAGAGGTGGGGGCCAGGACTTTTACTTTTCTTTATACACTTCTTGTGTTGTGTTTTTTAAACCAAAACATGTACTACTTCTGTAGTAATTATTTTTTAAATAAAATGCTTAATTTAAAAAAAAAAAAAGTGTTTCGGAAAGAGGGCAGCTGCAGGTGTGGGAACGCGTGTCCTGCCTTGATGCTTCTCAAGAACTAGCAAAAAATGTAGGCATTTTTTTTCTGCTACCAATTAGAAGCTGGATAGTCCCCTAGGAAAGTATACTCTTTTTCTTTAGCCCTTAGCTGTCTTTTTGTGCCTTGATTCACAAAAAACTCCAATTTAACTATTATTGGGTGCACATAGGTGAAGAAAAACAAAGGAAATAATTAAACCGTGGTCTTGTTGATGTCAGGTTGTCACGGGGCACAGCACCCAGCCGGCCACAGTGGTCCTCAGTGTCCACCATGTGTGGTCTTGGCTGCAGTTCTGGTCTCGCAGGTGTTTGCCACAGGTAAAGGCTTCATGGAGCCATGAGCTGAGGGCTCTTCACCGGGCCTCCCCCAAGCACTGGGTATTCACAGTTGCAGGGACTGCTGTCGCCTGCGCCTGGAAGGCAGCTGCCTGAGGCCAAGGCCATGATCTGTTCTCCACTCTTGGGCGGGGGGGTTGGCGCCAATGCTGCCCACAGAATCGGAGTCCAAACCTGTGCAGCTGAAAATCATCTTGGCATTTCATGTGTTTAACGCCTGTGCCAGGGGGCTCACTGGCAGCGGCTGTGGCCTATGTTGTGTTCAGCTCTGAGCATGCCACGTCGGAGGTGCCTAATTGGAGGAGAGTAGAAAGGAAGCTGTGGCTTGTCAAGAAGTGCCGCCAGAATGTACACAGAATGTTGAAGCTTTCCTTTTGGCTTCTCTCGTATACCGCCGGGTTCAGCATTCCTTTTGCAGAAAGACAGACTTACTGAATCTTAGGGATTTGCAGTGGCTTTAGAGGTTATCCAGAACTGCCCCTCATCTGACAAAAAGTCTCGTCTGCCTCTTCTTGTTAGAATAGACACTGCAATAGGATGAGGACCGGGTCTGTCTTGCAGGGCCCCACATTTTTTAAATTAAGCCAAAATCTGACCTCTGCAAAACTGATGTCTGATGGTCATAGTTTTGCCTTTGCAGGAACAGGAGATGCTTAGTCAGTGTCATTGATTTAGAACTTTATGTTTTAAAGTCACTTAAAAAGACCAGGCATTTATGACTCAACTCTGATCAACCATGGGGACTTGGCTAAAGTGAAGTATAGTATAAACATACAACAACATATGTGCAACTGCAGAAAAAAGCCCCATGATATAACTGTTCTTGATGTCATCCTTTCATTTATTCAAATCTTTACCGAGCTCCTGCTTCATACCACATTCTGTCCAAGGTGCCAGGGACACAGCAGTGACCAGACTCCACATGGCTGTCAGTCCCATGACGCTGATATTTGAGAATCACAAATAAGTATATATACATATAACCCTGTCTTCTGAGTCGGGGTTGAACCTGCCTTGTGTGAGGACTAATAGCCACCTTCTTTGTCTGTGTGTTCAGGGAATTTCTCAAGCTGCCAGATACGTTTACCGACGACTCATCAACGATGGCATTTTGAGCCAGGCATTCAGCGTTGCTCCTGTGAGACTTTATTTACTCTTATTTTAGTTTGTTTTGTTTTCTCTGTCATCAGCTGTTTCTTATTTTCAGCCTCTCCCCTCTGCTCTGTCCTCTAGGAGTACCGGCTTGTCCTCGTGGGTCACAGCCTGGGGGCCGGCGCTGCAGCCCTGCTGGCCCTCATGCTCAAGAACACGTACCCACACGTCAGATGCTACGCCTTTTCCCCTCCCCGGGGGCTGCTGAGGTAACTTTGTTTTCATGCATGGAACAAGGTGCCATATGGTCAGGGCTCATCTTTGATTTGTCACTGGGTTATCATTTCATCTTCGTCAGGAGAAGTTGGTGTTTTGATGCACTGTTGTAGAAGGAAGTGACTGGCCTTTCTTAGATCGCTCTGACCATAGCTTTGATTTCCTAAATGATATGGTTCTAAGATTTATTTTTTTTAGGAGTTCAAAAGTACATTTTTCTTTTTTGATTCAGCGTACTTAATCCAGGACTGTTCTATATAAACTTTTGCCCTGATTCTAGAAGTAATTTGTGCCCATCACGGACAATTTGGGACAAGTGTAGAGACCCAAACAAGTGCTCATGTTGGATTTGGTGGGTTAGTCTCTTAGCTCTGTTTTAATGTATAGATTTTCCCTCTCCTCCTCCATTTTTCTGTATGTGTTGAAGAAGCCAGGCCGTTTGTTCTGGAGAACATGCCGCATTCTGCACTTTGCCTATTATATACTCATAGTATCATTTAATGTGTTTCTCTGTCCATTCCCTCGGTTATTTGTGTTTCCTAGAAAATGGCAGTTCTGTCTGTGATTTGATCAGATTCAGGTTGGCTTTTTGGGCCGCTGTGGGTCAGGGTGTATAATTCCTCCTGCATCTCATCAGGGCACTTGTTGCCTGGTTGTCTCTGAGATGTTGGTAGCTGATGATCATTACTTAGATACATTGTTTTATCAGGAGTTGCAAAAGGGTGATATTCTCTTTCTCCCATTCCTTCTGCACTTACCAACTGAAGAACTTTTAAAAAAGAAGTTTTCTTCATCAGTTATTGGTTACCCTGAGGTGTATAGCTCATACAGGAAGAGCAGGTTAAATACATAAGTGCTTGAATGTTTCCCTTTATTTACAAACAGTGTTCAGAATAATGAATTGGTATTCTAGCAGTCTCCAGAGGTGGATGTTAATTTTTTTTAACATCAGTTATCCTTTTGATGTTCAAATTGCCCCATCTTTGGTCAGTGGTTGTCCCATCAAAGTGGGCTTCTCCATCCTCTGGCCACAACCCCTTTTGTCTGATAGTTTTCTTGCTTTCTGGTACAATGAAGTGTTCTAGGCTCAAATTTTATTTCCTATTCTATATCTGGAATCAACCATTTCTCCAAGGAGTGTTGGTTCCTTTTATTGGAAAATGGTATTTAGAGACTATTGGGCACTAGTAAGGGTGCTTATTGCCTAGGGCTAGTCATGGAAAGCGCCAGGGAATACTTTTTTTTTATTCCAAAGAGAAAATATATCCTTAGTTTATATTGATACTTCCAATTTAAAGTAAAGATCAGGGTTTTTACTTAAAGTATTTAATAGTATACTTGTATTTACTGAAATTATTTTTTTTTCTTCTATGCTGGAAATGTTGGTACTTGTCAACATTAACCTCATTACTTATCTGCATTTCTCTATCAATCAGTCAACCATAGTTTCAGAATAGTAATACCAGTATTAAATCTAACAGTTGTTGTTGTATTAGTTGCCATCTTGTTGATTCTGACTTGTGGCGACCCCGTGTGTGCAGAGTAGAACTGCTCCATAGAGTTTTCAAGGCTGTGACCTCTCGGAAACAGATTGCCAGGCCTGTCTTCCAACCTGCCTTTGGGTGGATTCAAATTACCAACCTTCCAACTAGTAGTTGAGCATTTAACAGTTTGAGATTTCTTTGCAGTTTGCTTTGCTCTTAGGATATATTCCTATTAGGGATATACAGTCAAATTACTGATATTTTAAAGTCATTTATAATAATTCTGTTTGGTTAATACACTATGAGTTTCATATGGCTTTTGATTTTAGAGAGTGCTTTTGTTGTTTTGATTTAACTTTGTTTTAGAATCACGTAAAACATTAACATGGTTCCAAAGACAATTCAAAAGGTACATTGAGAGACATCTAGTTTCCATTCCTGTTCTCTCAGTAATGTCCTTTCTCCACCCAGGGGTGGCTATTTCTATTGTTTTATTTTTTTATGTTTTATTATTCTTTCATATCTATATATATAATTTGTATACCTCTCCCTTTCTTAGGTAAAAGGTCGCATAGGATATATGCCGTTCTGCATCTTGTAACTTTAACAGTATATCCTGGCCATGACCCCACAGCAGTAGAGATCATCTTCGTTCCTTTTACAGTGCAAAGGACTCCTCACTGTGGGCTGAGCCATAGCTTATGACTTCACTGCATTTCTCTTGACGGTGGACATTTGGGGCGTTTGCAGTCTCTGCTAGTACAGACAGTGCTGCAGTAAATAGGCTTCTGCATGGCTTTTTTGTGCATCTTTGAGAGGGAGATTCCTGGAAGTAGGATTGCTGGGCCCAGGCTAAGTGCATGGCTCAGTCTGCCATCTTGACCTGGTTGGAGGCTTTAGCTGTGGACCATCTCAGCTGAATGTATGTTGTGGCTCTGGGAGAACAGGGCCATGAATTGCTCTACCTGAAGCCTCTCAGCTTTATTTCTCCTCACCTGTGGAGGACAGAGAACAGAGTGACTTGTAGGAAATACCAGCCTCTCACTTATCTGGCAAAAGGTCCTTAATTTCCCTCTTTGAAGCTCTTTGTGGGCAATATAATCATAAAGCTAACTTTTCTTTCCTTTTTCTGAAATTTCAGCAAATCCCTTTATGAATACTCCAAGAGCTTCATTGTGTCACTTGTCCTTGGGAAGGACGTGATCCCCAGGTGCGTCTGCTGGGTGACGGTCTGTGTGGTGGGCAGTTGAAAATACTGGGTCCACCGAAAGTACTGAGCCTCAGTCTCGCCTGACTTTTTCTAAACAGGCTAAGTGTGACCAATTTGGAAGATCTGAAGAAGAGAATCTTGCGAGTGATTGCTCACTGTAACAAGCCTAAGGTAACTTGGGTGTCCTTTGACGAGGGACTGCAGGAGCTGTGGCCTCCGTGTGTATACAGCGGAAGGGAATTTTCCTTGTTCATAGCCTCAGAGCCAGGGCAGCTTATGCTGTTGCTTCATTACTCCTTCCACCCTCTGTACAGATTTTTGTCTAGTGTTCTACAGATGATGCCTAAGAAGGGGATGTGGCTAAAACAAGTACATGAAGTACCCCAATTAGATTTGCTTCCTGTTAGACTTCTTCGTCCTGTCTTGTGTCGTACAGTATTCTCATGTCTTCGGGTATATTGTCCCAAAGCATAGAAAACAAGGCTGCCAAATATAGGTTTAGAGGTTCTGCTATCTCCATACTGAGGAGTATTATGCAGTCACTAAAAATGTTGACATATATTTCATGATGTATTGAAAAGCTTAAAAAAAATAAAGACAAGCTTAAAAATGATTCTTAGAGGTATGATCCAAGGTGGGGGAAGGAAACAAAGGGATGTGTATGAGTTTTGACAAAAATTTGAAAAAATATACACAAAATGTGGTCTTATTGGCTAATGGAATTAGAGGTGATTTTCAGTTCTTCAACCCCTTTTTGTTTTCTGAAATTTTGAGGGTTTGTTGCTAATTACATACACACACACACACACACACACACACACACAAATTCAAATAAAGTTTCTCCTATCAATTACAAAAACATTATAATTAATATCTAATGTCTTTACGGGAAGGGTCAAACTGCTTTGCAGCATTGCCTGAAAAGAGTTAAGGGTACTTTTTCCTCAAAAACCTGCATACTTTGGTTTTTAAATATTGCTACAAGTGGGATAGAGTCCCTGGGTGATGCAAACGGTTCACACGTTTGGCTGCTAACTAACCAAAAGGTTGGAGGTTCGAGTCCACCCAGAGATGCCCAGTCTACTTCCAAAAAATCAGCCATTGAAAACTCTGTGGAGCAGTTCAACTGTGACACACATGGGGTTGCCATGAGTCAGAACTGACTCAGTGGCCACTGATCACTGGTTACGAGTGTGATGGCTTCATTGTCAGGAAACAGCAAAGTTTGGGCCCTTTCAGCCACACCCTCACCACGCTGGTGATTTAAGGTGTGCCCAGGCACCCAAGGCATCAGTGACTGCTGCCGTCTGGCTCTGGCTCCCTCAGTGTGACAGGGAGTAGCCCCCTCAGGGCATGCTGGTGGTGACAGTGAGAGCCTTTCAGAGTAACAATCCTTCTGCCTCTTTGGGTTTCACCCACAGTATAAGATCTTGCTGCATGGGTGCTGGTATGAGCTGTTTGGAGGGGACCCTGATAACTTTCCGACGGAGCTGGATGGGGTCAACCAGGAGAACCTGACACAACCTCTCCTCGGGGAGCAGAGCCTGCTGACGCACTCGTCCCCAGCCTACAACGGCTCTGATGACTCCCCACTGCATTCCCCGTCCAAATACCCCGCTCTGTACCCTCCCGGCAGGATCATCCACTTGGAGGAAAAGGGCCCTTCAGGCAGGTGAGTGCTGACGCCCCCTGACAGATTTGGGGTCCGACGTGGCTCCATCTACTCCACACCAGCCCAGAACTCAAGACTTGAAAGAAAACACACGAGGCAGTGAGGCTTTGTTCAATGACTTTTAACCTTTGATCTTCCAGGCTTTGCTGTTCTGCTGCTCAGTACAGTGCCAGGTGGTCGCACGAATCAGAATTTAGCAGGATCCTCATAGGCCCCAAGATGCTGACAGACCACATGCCAGACATCCTGATGCGAGCCCTGGACCACTTGGTCTCGGACAGAGCAGCCTGCGTTTCCTGCCCAGCACAGGGAGCCTCCCACATGGACATGGTGTAGCCCCAGCTTCTGGGAGTTCCTGCAGGAACATGGCCCCTTGCTTTTGTTCTTACACTGGCTTAATATCCAGGTGATTTCCTATTATGCCAGTACATTGGATTTTCATCAGTAGGAACTGAAGAGTTACTAAATTCAATGGTTTTCTAAATGACTGGGTAACTTTCAGGAAATCATTTGGAACATAGTACAATCTGGAGCCAGGGGAGAGGCTTGAGGTGATGGGACTCCACAGCCTGAGGACAAACGTGCAGAAAGCTTCAGAAGCCCTTCCCATTGGCCTGCCAGTCCCGGCCCTCAGGAGGGTGGGAAGCCAACAGCCAGTTTTAAGGTCCTGACTGGGCTTGTGGGACTCCACCCCTTAGGTAACCCCTTCACTGACTGGGCTCATCCTGAGACTATTGAGGAATCTGAAGTTGGCTTACGGGTGTGCCGTTTTCTGGGCTACACAAACAACTGCTCCTAGTTGTGAGAATAGCGAAGCAGCCAGATTGCCTTCAGAGAGCTGTTTTCTTCTGGATGGCGTCAAGGGTTAGCCCTGAGCTCTGACTGGGGATCATCTCACAGCCTCAAGACAAAGACCAGGTCGGGAAACCAGTGGCCACCCTCCCTAACCGGCACCTTCTGGCCCTCAGCACTGGTCCTTGTTTACACGCTTGTTTCATCAACAGTGAGGAGTGGGTGTGGCTTAGCTCTCACCTAATGTTCTGGCTCTTTGAGGTTGGCCAGTGGATCCAGAGGGAGTTAAATAAAGCACTTACTCGTGTCACCCAAGTCTGCCTGTTCAGTGATGTGTTCTTCACTGAATGTTTCTAGGAAGGTCTATTTATTGGGTAGTTTTACAGCAGTCTTGTTTGAGATGTTTCTGTGTTCCGTAAACGAAGTCTTAAGTTGTCCTGGAGTTCTGGCCAGACTGCAGATTGTACAAGCATCTCATTTTATTCCCCCCTCCCCACGCCCTCCCGAGCTCCAATAAAATGACGGTAAAGGGATTTCTTTTAAAAGCATAAACCCACAAGGATGGGGAAAAGGAGACAAGAACAATTACATTTTTGGAAGCTAGAAATCAGATGGCAGAATCCTAAGCAGGGAAGGAAAGCCAAGAACTAACCCAACTGACAGCACAGACCCCTGTGGCCCTGAAATGGGTGAGGTGGCTCACTTCAAAGTGGGGAGAACCTTGCCCCTCGTTTGCTTGTGGGGGAGGGAGACTGGGCACCAGCACAGTTACAAGGGGATCACGTTCCTGGACTCCTACCCATTTTTCAGGGAGGAGATTCTCCCAGGAAATCTGACCTCTAGAGAGACCTTCCTCAGGGCCTCTCAGCTGCCCCAGCCAGATCACCTCAGATCCATGCTTCTGAAAACCTGCACAGGACTGCGAGTTTCAGAGATACTTCTGTAATACACAATTGAAACAGCATGGCAGTGTCCAGTCGCTCTAAGTTTCCTTTCTAAACACACTTCCAAAGGCAGCTAACCTGGTACTCTGGGTAGTGCTGCGCTAGTGTAACCCACCCATGTGTCACTTCCAGTCTGCTTTTCAGGTTCTCAAACCATAAACAGGAGCCAAGGGTTGCCAGACACCTGAGGAAACAGACGATGCAGGGAGCTTCCAACTCTCTCAGCTATGCTTCGGAACACAGAGCATCGCAATCATGGAGGAAACCCAGGAGGCTCAAAAAGAGATTTTAGAGAGTAAAAAAGAGCATTGGAAATTAAAAACATGATAGATAAAAAGGAAAAGACAAACTGGGGAATGGAGAGGGTAAGAGACCATTCCAGGAGGTCTAACATCTGAATACTAGTAGTTCTAGGAAAAACAGACATGAGTTTCCAGATGGAAAGAACCTACCAAGTAGAGCCCAACAGATAAAGGTAAACCCTAGGATATGAGAGACAAAGGGAAAATTCCACAAGATTGATAAATAGGAAAAAGTACATCACAATGCCAGAGAAATGGCTATGGAAGACAATGGAAAAACTTCCTTGAAAAAATGTGAAGAAAAGTTTATAACCTACATTTTTAAACCCAGCCGAAACTATCAAGGTAGTATAAATTTTCACAGATGCAAAGGCTCAAAAGTACATCCCACACACCCTTTCGCGGGAAGCTCTGGAAGAATCTAATCAAGATGAAGTAAATAACAGGAAATCAGGGTGTAAGAAATAAAAGATCAACACACAACAGGTGAAGGCTAGCTGACTGACTTTAGGAAAATGGAAATTGATAAAATACGTAACGTAGCTGAACATCTTGACAGATTTAGACAGCAGACAAAACTAAGCAAATAAAGCATTAATTGCCTCAAAGGGAGCCAAAAGTTGTGGACGAAAGGAAAAGTTCTGTTACTATACAACTTAGTTATGAATAGCTTACACAGTAATAATGTAGATGCCATATACTTAGAGCCAGCCAAAACTCTTATATTGAGGGATGGGAAAGGGGGCTGTGTAAGTGGGAAAGAGAAAGCCCTTCTGTCTTCCGCAATGGGAAGATCAATGGTAATTGGTAAAGCTGAAAAATTCAACTAGCAACACAAGCATATAATTTAGATATGTGGAGGTAAATATCAAAAATTAGTTAAAAGAACTGAAAGTAGTTGCCTCTGGGAAAGGTGTGAAGGAGGGACTGCTGTTTTTCTAACAAACCTTGTATAACTATTTGATCTTTAAACCGTGTATTTATCTTTGATAAAATAAAAGACTAAAAAATGTGTCTTCAAAGCCGTAAGAAAGAATATTTAAGAAAACTGACTTTCACATTGTGAACTCTCTATAGTACGATTCCAGGCTCTAGAAAGGACCTTAAGGTCACATGGTTCTGCCTCCACCCTGTCAAGCTAGGCACTGATGCCTCCCCCCATCAGCATGACCAGCCCAGGCCTGTGGCCCAGGACGTACACTCGCATGGACGCCACACGTTCACACATATATCCTAACTGCTAGCTGTCTCCATGTGAACATCTCACCATCGCTCATGGGTCCACAACCTCCCAGCCCCACCCCCACCCCCACCCCCACTAACCATTGATGCACCTATGTTCTCCCTGTGAAAAGGAATTTCTCCAACGACCCAGGGCTTTAAAGTGAGGCAAATGACACACACCAGGAGGTTGTTCACCAAGTTCTCAAAAATTCAAGTATTAAATCTGGAGGACATTATGCTGAGTGAAATTAGTCAATCATAAAAGGACAAATATTGTATGGTCCCACTATTATAAAAAATCAAGAATATAAACACAGCAAAGTTCTTTGATGGTTACCAGTCACTTTCTAGATAGTAGACACTTGTTACTTTTGGTGATAGGAATGGCAAGATCAAATATGGGTGAAGTCAGCACAAACTGACAAAGGTAAAAACATTAAGTAGTACACAAGAAAAAGGGACAATTTCGGTAAATGCTATTAACATATATATTACAACAGTAAAAAAGACAACCAAAAATGTGGTTATGTAGGTAGATACGGGTGCATATATGTGTATAGAAATGTGTAAGTAAATGCACGTGCACATATAGGCATATCTGTAGGCATATGTATATACAAGTTTGTGTGTGCTGCCTGTGTATCTACATAAAACAGACCACACAGGGCACAGTTACAGAAGTTTCCTAGACACAGCCAAACAACTCATGGGATTGGCTTACTGGGTTAAAAGACTTGGGACCATAGTCTAGGGGGACAACTTAGTCAACTGGCATAACATAGTTCATTCACAAAGATAATGTTTTACATCCTAGTTTGGTGAACAGCATCTGGGGTCTTAAAAGCTTGTGAGCAGCCAGCTAATATACAACTATTGGTCTTTACTCATATGGAGCAAAAGGGAAGGAAATCAAAGGCTCAAAGAAGAAACTAGTCCACGGGTCTAACACCCCACAGGAACCACAGCCTCTTCTAACCTGAGACCAGAACTAGATACTGGGACAATAGAAGGTCCCAGATATAATGGGAGAAAAATATAGAACAAAATTCAAATTCCTTAGAAAGGTCAAACCTACTGGACTGAGCCTAGAGGAACCCCCAAGACTACTGCACTAAGATAACCTTTGAACTTCGAGTTGAAGCTATTTCTGCAGGTCACCTTTCAGCCAAGTAAGATTGGCTTATAATATCACCCGTGAGTAATGTGCTCCCTTAAACAATTAATATGAGACCAAATGGTCAACATTTACCCAAAAGCAAAGACGAGAAGGCAAGGAAGGGAAGGGAAGCTAGACCAATGGAAACAGAATAAACAGAATGGAAATAATGAGAATGCTGATACGTTGTAAAACTTGCAACCAGTGCCACAGAACAATTTATATAAAGACTGTTAAAGGGGAACCTAGATTGCTGTGTAAACTTTGACCTAAAACAATAAAATATTATTAAAAAAAAAAGCAGACCATCTATCAGTTCCCCCCCAAAAAATTCAAGTATTACCAGTCATATGATTCAAGGATTTATTAAGTCATACATGCAAAACATAGTGCTAATTGCATTAGCAAAAGATCAATGTAAAAACACAATTCTCCAACTGTCAATTTAAAAAATTTTGTTCTAGTGGTTCAAAGGTCCAACATTGTATTCTTGCCAGTGTGTTAGCACTGAGTTTACAGAAACCTCACAGACCCAAAGGAACCTTTTTAGGAAAAGCAACAATAGGAAGTGTGTCCATGTAGGTGAGGTAAGGCGGAGGGTCAGTATTAGTCAAGTTACAGTGTTGGTAATCTGGCAAGACAGTGATGTTAAGAAGGTTCATATTTAAGGATATCTAAAATATTTTAAAAACTGTAAAGCGGCAACACAGGATCTTTACACCTAGTTACTAGAAAACTAATAACAAAAGCACTTATTAGCACTGAATAAAGTAATGTGAAAACGGAATGCACTGGACTCATTTACAAAAGACGAAATTCTAATTCATTATCAGAAAGATTTTATAATACAAGGAGACATATTGCTCATTAAGAGGAGATTCTAGAAGAAAAGCACTTACTAAATTAGCATCTATGGGAATGACCAGTCAAAGATGAATTAAATGCCCAAGTGTGAGGGATGGCAGGTGCAAGAGAAAGGAAAAGCCAAAGAAAACACTCACTGATAATACCGACCTTTCTGTATCATCTACTGTATTTGACAGAAATGAACCTTTCAAAGATTTTACCCATGACATGTTTATTCAGTTTCATGATTCCGTGTACAATGTAGTGTTGTAAATCAACTGCTACTTCATATTTTGTCAAAATACTGTCTTCATCCTTTGATCACATCAAGTGTTCCCCACACTCCACCCCAGTAGAATACTTCATCAGAGGAAACACATGGACAAGATCTCTGTTCAAAATCTCAGCAAAAGCTAACAAACTAATGGTTTTAAAAAATTTCACTAAAAAATCAAAAAGACTGATCCAAAGGGTTGAGCTGTTAGACTCATTCCATTATGACATACAGTACAAGGTTACATCGTGAACGTGGGTTGATAAATTACTGAACGTGTTAAATGGCAACATTTCATTAAGGAGGCTGTACTGCTTTAACATGTCTGAAAACCAGTTAGAAAGTGGCTGCATTTACTGACATCAGAAGCTACAGTCTTTAAAGACAAAGGTCTTTCAAACAGTTTAGTGCTTAGTGTTTGTAGCACAACAATGCAACTTAATTCACAGGGTGTTTTGGCAACTCTTAATCTGAGCAAGAATAGGGGCTTTTGAAAAATAAGGCTTTAATAAGGCTTGTCGTTTTAGGGCTAAATTTTAATAGAATGTGAAAGTTCGAACTCTTACGCTTTCAACAAAATCTTGAAATTACTGATTGGTTCAAAATGGTTTTATGGAAAAACTAATCTGTAACAAAAACTTGGCATTGAGTGCGAAGGCTCCACCGTTTTTGAGCAAAGCATACAAAGGGTCCAGGTGGGCAGGGCAAGGACGGGTGGGGTGGGGCGGGGGGCTCTGACATTTACAACAGCAGGCATTTTCTCTTCCTCTTCTTGACAGGGGGTGGGCAGAGGACGGCTCTGATGGCTTCATCAAACACTGTCTTGAGGCCTCGCTGCGTGAGCGCCGAGCACTCCAGGTATTTTACAGCACCTGCCGGGAAACAAAGCCATTACAGCCCAAGGTTCACACTTAGCTGACTCTTATCAGAATAAGGCCAAGAGGCTGCTCCCCCGGGCCTAGCACCTCTGCCCGCCCCACACAGCATAGCAGAGCCAACGCCAGACCCTGCCTCCACCTTCCAAATGCCGCCACTCAGACCCTGAAGGTCCTGGCGTAGGTGGTTCCCCAAAAGTCAGCCCAACCCCGAGTAGGAGAACACACACGACAGAACCTATGTCTGCCACTAAAAAGCACAGGTGCAAAGCAGGCATGGAAACAGAAAGCGGGGGGTGGGGGGGTTCATACCAATCTCCTTAGCCATTGCTAAGCCCTGGGGATAGGTGATGGGAGTCAGCTTCTTCTCCTTCAGCTTCTCAATCGTGTCTTTATCATCCCTCAGATCAAGTTTAGTTCCCACGAGGATGATGGGAGTGTTGGGACAATGGTGTCGCACCTCAGGATACCACTAGAGGGAGAAAGGAAGGTCATTACAGTTTCTCTTAAAAACTCCCTTCATTAAAGCCACCAGGTGCCACACTGTGTGACTATCTCCACCCATCACTGCCTTCTCAAGTGTGCCTCCAAGCAGGAAACGACACGCTCTGCTCTCCAGCCTCGCTAACATCCACTCAGACCTTATGGAACCACAAGGAATACCTGTGGGTGTCTGGTTAGCAAGCTGGGCTCACCCAAGACTAATGACGCTGCAGAACAGGCTCTGCTCATCAGGGGAGGCGGAGGGGGGGGGAGAGGTTGGAGGGAGGGAAGGAGGGAGGGAAGGAAGTGAAGTGAGGGAAGAAAAGGGAGGGAGGGAGGGAAGAAAAGGGAAGGAGGGAGGGAGGGAAGGAAGTGAAGGAAGAAAAGGGAAGGAGGGAGGGAGGGAAGGAAGTGAGGGAAGAAAAGGGAAGGAGGGAGGGAGGGAGGTCCCCCAAAAGGAAATCACTTCGTTTTTTGGTAAAATGAGTCAAGTTCTTAAGATCTTCTCAGAAAACTCATTACCTAGCCAGGGATGAGAAAACATGGACTACCTGGACTGAGGGCTCAGCTCTGCCACCACCACCCCTGACTGAAAATTTCCCTCATCACTAGAACTGAAGGTTATCTCTCACTCTTAATTCTCACTAAGAAGTTTGCAAAAGATGCAGGACTAGACAGTAACAGTCATTATTTTTTATTAGACTAACTCCAAAGTATGTCATTATTTTAACAACACAGAGCACACTACTTCTGAATCAGAACCGTTTGCTCCACCTCTGAAACTTAAGAAATCGGCTATCTACAGTCATCTACTAATAAAACGGATCATCTGCCTAAATAGTATAATTAGGAAAACAAATTTAAATAATTGAAAACTCCTAGCAGTAAATGGCATTTTAATTTTTAATGTTTCTTCCCAATAGTGACATTATGTAAAAATACATTAAAAAATAAATCCCCACTTACCTTTGCACGGACATTTTCAAACGATGCAGGACTCACCAGGGAAAAGCAAATTAAGAACACATCCTGTAAAAAGGAAACGGGGAAGCTTAGAAACGATCTGCAAGTGAAGACCGCACTTGCTTTCTGAATGCTGTTGGGAAGGAGTCGGGTGCAGTGCACTCACGCTGCGCAGCGGCCGTGTCTACAGCTCATTCCCTGCACACCCCTTCAGGCCTGTCCACAGCTCCCGAACCAGAACCAGCACAAAGAGCAACCAACCCATGACTTGTAAACCCTCAGGGAGGCCTCTTCCACTTCAGCTCAATGCCCATGGGGATCCAGCCCCAACTGGAAACCTAATTCTCTGCTATAAACGGGCAAATCTACTGAGAAGGTCCTACTGTAACATGTCAGTAAGACCGGTCTCTGTTTCTCAAAAGCAGAGTCCATTTGAAAGACACCATCGAAAAATGGTATCTTTTTGATGAAGCTCCATTTGCATTTTTCAGAACTGTCATCGTTCTTCAGTGACACCGCTTCTTTGGGAACGGTTTATCACAGTCCTGCCGCTAAGTGGGGGCTCAACTCCTTGCTAACTGAGCCATCTCCTGGGTGCTGAAGGCTGGACTAATAAGTGCGCAGCGTCTCCCTGGTTTATAGCCGCCCTTGGGCTGCTGCGGCCCCTCGAGATTCACAGGAAGGGCAGGTGCAGAAGAGGTACTTGAAGAGGTGCTCTGGCTAACTGTAAAATACTTAGAGGTTTCCTCCCATTTTGTATTGTGTATGAAAATCAAATTTAAATACCTACTTGTATTAAAAAATGCCCAAGAGTTTCTAAAATGCTAGGTTTATATGACATTTTCCTGGAAAAGGGCAACTATGCTTCTTTGTGAAATGCACACAATTCCCAAACACACACTTTAAATTACCCAGCTGAGATCTTGCACCTGAAAGGGAAAGAGAACCCCCCCCCACCAGTAGCTTTTCATAAACAACATCTGTAAATGCTGGCGCATGCACAAGCGTGTCCAAGAAATCACCAGAGTGTCCCAGTATTGGAGTTGATTGCAAACCATTTCCAAGCATGGTTGGGTTAGCTCACCAGCCCGGCACAGCCATGCCCCCGACAGGCCCACGTCACCACACCCAGGACACCGCAGTGGGAGAGGAGACCCTGAGCAGAGAGGTTAACCCTGCGCCGGGGGCCAGGAGAAGGGTCTTCTTAGGAGAAGCCCTCCCTTGACTTGGGAGGAGGAAAGACGCAGATCACTAAGGGCTTTAATTCAAACTAGCAGGTGAACAGGCACGCTCTAATGAAAGCGTATTTCACCAAGCACAGCCTCAACCTTGAGGGAATTAGATGTAAGACACTCAAGGAACTGAGGTGCAGTAAGATGTCCTAGGAAAACTAAGGGAGACAAGAGAACAGATAAAGCTGGAAACTGAGGTCCATGGAAGGTTTTACATACGGCAATCGGCTTGTCTTTGCCCCTGGTGGCGCTATCCTTACCATACGTGTCTCCAACCTAGTAATGCATGAGAACTTTGTTTGAGTTTAGTAAAAACTAAAGAAAAGAACAATACATATAACCTGTTAAGTCTTCATCAGAATTTTGTCAACCTTCCCAAGAGATCGAAAGGCAGATAACGATCTAACACATCTAGGCCGCCAAATGCCACCGAACCCTCCATCAGATGTGGCCACAGGGGGTGTCCCTGTGCAGTTAAATGAGGGTGGGGAAAGACAAATCCAGGAACACTGCGGACAAGACCAAGGCGCCTCGGCTACCTGCGGCAGCACATAAGGAATGCTCCTTTTCCACCCAGAAGTTAGAACACGCACATAAAGCCCACGGCTTATGTGTAGTCTGTTGAGGCAGTGTGCCAGCCCCCGACATCACGCACGCCCACGCGCTGTTCCTGGCATCTGCAGGGACGGTCGCGCCTTTCAAAGCTCTTCGACAAGCACAGTGGAAGCCAGAGCACACAGGGACGGCCCGTCTGCAAAACGTGCACAGCAGGCAGAAGATCTCAGGACACTCACAGGTCTGAGAGCATAAGATTTCAGAGTCTCTGAGCGCTAGAAGTGTCTGCTGCACAGACTGTGTTCCTCTCTTTCACTAGGTTCTGGAAGGGCGTGAATCTAATGGGCCTGCACCACTGACGTGACAAGGATGCTGCCACGAAGCCCTGTGATTCTGCAACCCTTTACAGGATTCAGAGGAGGCTGCCGTCAGCTCAAGTGATGGAGCTGACAGTATTTCCAGTTCATCACAGTACTGTCAACCCATTCCTTTGTTCTTATCAAAACCAAAAGATTTGCTCTTCAACCATTCCCTGTGAGACAATACAGAACCCTGGAATCCTTTCAAAAGAAGGACAGACAAGACAATTATTTCCATTTCACCCACTCAAGCTTCTGTGATTTCCAATTCAGAGGGAATATGGAGGTTTTCATAGCCATTCAGGTTGAATTTACAGATGATTTCTGAAGATCTGTCCTTCCAAGGACCTGGAATGATGCTGATCTGTATTGTGTAAGCGGCCCCTGGACCAGCACCCTGACCAGCCTGCTCCTCCCCTGGGACCAGCCAAAGAAACATCGCTTCAGAAGCTCCTCCTAGGTTCTACCCTTTTCCATTTTTGACGAAGAATCACGCACAGCAGGAGCCATCCCTCTCCCACCACATGTCAGCGTCACACCATCTGTCCCAAGTGGGGGCCTGTTCCTTTCTTGCTCCTTTTTCTTTCCCCAGCCTAAATATAGCGTTCAGGAGACAATTCTAGCGCTTCTGGGGCATGTTTTTCAGCACTGATTGGTTCTGGCCTGTGCCGTCCTGCCATCCGGCAGATGGTGCTCGGGCTGCTCACCTGGACTGGGTCCTTGACAGTTCAGAGTTCCCCAAAAGCTCCTGAAGGGCTCTTGCTTTCCCTCCTCGCAGGTTCACCTGTGCGTTAGAACCCCTTTTCTCCGCCTGAGCTGTCTCCAGCCACAGGCCCATCTTTCCTCTGGATTTGAACACTACCCTCAGACCTTCAGGGACCACGGCGGACTCCAACTGTGCCTACTACAAATGCAGTCAGTTCTTTAATCTCCCTATGACTCCCACACCACAAACCGTTACTCCTCATGCTCAAACTACAGCCGGAGCAGTGGTTTTTACTGCTGCCTTCTCCACCTGTCACTGGTCCATAGGCTTCACTTTAGTGCAGCAAGCTGGGCAGACGTCTGGATGTGTGAACTCACCCTACTCTAAAATAGTATCACTTCTCTTTCTTTTACTTTATTCTCTTCCAAAGCCTTTCCACCTGATTTTTTACTTTCAGGTTTGGATTTTTTCCTTTTCCATGTGGGCATACTATATGCACAGGGGAAAGGACCAGGATATATAAACACACAGAGAAAAGGCAGAACTAAAAGCTTTCCCAAGCTGTACATGGGTCACGGCTTTGGAGCTGCTAGTAGAACAAGCTTAGGAAAAAGGGGAATACAGCCCCTGACAGTCGGGCCTCAGCGTGTTCTGTTCAATAGAACAGTCTCCCAGAACACCAACATGAGACCAGGTCACTCTGTCACCATGATGAAATGAGACCAAAAATAAATTGATAAATAAAAGACCACTTCATAATCTTGACTAAGTGTAGACAAGTGTAAAGTCACTGTGCAAACTACAAACACACCCAACACCCCTTTCCCTGCTGCGAGAGTGGCTAACAGCTCCCTCTTCACCCACTGCAGCTTTAGCCTCGCTTCACTCCCCCACCTTCCAGATAGTTTATTAAGATGCCAATCACAGAATAACCCTTGCTTTCTGACAGCACCCAATCCAGAGTAAACCCCTGCTGCCTTGAATGCTCTCCTAAATTACCCAACACAAGCCCAATCCCACCCCACAGCTCCCCAAAGCGTGCGTCTCCGTCTTGGCGGAGAGCAATGAATCTACTGTTGTTTAACTTCAGATGAGCTTTGACTGGAGGACACTGCGGCTCACTGCCTACCTAACGAAGGTGGAAGGCTTTTGGCAACCAACACTAACAAGCAAAATAGTGCATCTTTTTTCCTAATGTCACAGTAGTCTAGCCAAGTACTTTATACTTTCCTCAGTTCACAGCAGACACAGAAAAAGTATCGGCATGGCACGCTGGGGTCCTGGCTGGCCCAAGGCAGAGGCCCAGGATCTAGTCAACGGGCTGGGCAGCATGGGTGTCTCAGATACACAGAGATCAAACCTGTGTGACTCTGGCAGGTCACTCTGCTCCCACCTGCATCACTAAATTCTGGTACAAGAAGGCAAACACAGGGGACCTGACAGTACAGGAGGCTGGACGCAAGCATTTACATTGATCACACCTTGCTTCTGAGCATGCAAAGTCAAGATGAGTATGTAGAATTTACAAAATATTTTTACTGCGGTGAAAATACACACACCAAAACATTGACCAGCACAAATTCATCACTTACAATACAGTGACACTTTTCATGTTGTGCCACCATTATCGCTATCCTTTTCCAAAACGTTCCACGACCATTAACATAAGCTCAATGTCCCCCAAACAAAAACTCCCTCTTCCTCCCTCCCTCCCACTCCTGGTAACCATTAATAATCTTTGGTTTCTATATATTTGCTTATTTCATATAAGTTAGATCACATAGTATTTGTCTTTTTACAACTTATCTCGTTCAGTGTAACAAATTATTTTTTTGTTTAAAGAGAAAATAAAGATAACTTATTAAAGGATAGGAGAAGCCTGTATTTAATTCAGAAAACTAAAAACTTGTAGGGCAATTTATACTGGTAATGATGACTACCTGCTCACCAACTCGCAGAGAACTAAATAGAAACTAATGGTTTAAACAGACTTGAGCTACACAGAACCACCCCACTGAGGATGCTCACATTAAATAACCACAGGAAATGGAAGGTGTCTTTTTAGGATACCTTAGATATCTTCTAATTGGTCCTTCCGGTATGGGTCATGTCTAAGCCACACAGACAAGCCTGCAGACCACAACACAGCCCATGTTCCATTTAACGTGAAGCTTAGAGCTTTTCTTTTTGCCAACAAGAGATGAAGGTGCCAGCCATGACTACCAGAGCCCACTCCTCTTGCTAGGACACTGTAGCTCAAAGAACAAGTCTTTCAGGCACCAGGATTTCAGCATTCAGGGTTCCTGCCCCTTAACTGTTATCTCTAAGAGTCCAAGCAGACATGTCTCTGCTGTTGTTCTCCCCTCTTTGCTCCTTAAGTACCCCTACTCACACCTCTACAATGGTACATGATACATTACACAGCAATCGGCTTACCCTTCTGTGAGCTACCTGACAGCAAGATCACTTCTTACTCCCTTTTTGTTTTTATAGGAAATTAGACCACCGCCTTACACAAATGAGACGTAACAAGTTCACGTCCTGGCCCCATAAGGACAGCATCCACTTTGATTTCAGGCCTTACATGTGACAGCTTTATTCAATCTGAGGAAGTCCACACATGTTATTTATCTACGTGTTCTTTAGCATAAAGTGGGATGTTGCCAACTCACCTTTGACTGTTGAATGACTCCCTCAGAGAAAAGGCCGCACCCCACCCTGAATCCCTTGAGTCACAGGAAGAGTCTCATTTCGCAGAAGTAACACCACGCCCTTTGAGACCTATCCAGTGGTCTGGATTTACCTTCCCAAGCTCAACTTGGACATATTTGCAAATTACTCCAAGTTCTACCAAAAGACAAAGTGGTAATGTTGTCCCTCTAGCTGTTAAATGGGTGTCCTGGAACCCCAATTACAACTTTTAAAAATCTCTTAAGTGAAGTGTTAACTTTGGTGAAGGGAAAGACAACATACATTATAGGGGAAGTCAGCCCAGCTTGACCATGGTAGAGTCATAGAAGCTTCCTAGACACATCCAAACACCTTGAGAGACTGAGTTACTGGGGCTGAAGGCTGGAGACCATGGTTTCGGGGGACAACTAAGTCAACTGGCGTAACGCAATTCATAAAGAAAATGTTCTACATCCCACTTTGGTGAGTAGCGTCTGGGATCTTACAAGCTTGCGAGCAGCCATCTAAGATACATCTATTGGTCCCATCCCATCTAGAGCAAAGGAAAATGAAGAAAACCGAAGATAAAAAGAAAGTATTAGTCCAAAGGGCTGATGGACCACATGAATCACAGCCTCCATCAGCCTGAGCCCAGAAGAACTAGATGGTGCCCAGCTACCACCACTAACTGCTCTGACAGGGATCACAATACAGGGTCCTGGACAGAGTGGGAGAAAAATGTAGAATAAAATTCAAATTCACAAAAACAAGACCAGACTTACTGGTCAGACAGACACTGGAGGAACCCCCAAGACTATGGCCCCCGGACACCCTGCTAACTCAGAACTGAAGCTACTCCTGAAGTTCACATTTCAGCCAAAGATTAGCCAGGCCTATAAAACAAACAGTAACACACATGAGGAACATGAGACCTAATGGGCAACACCTGCCCAAAAGCAAAGATGAGAAGGCTGGAAGAGACAGGAAAACTGTATGGACGGACACAGGGACAATGGGTGTAAAGGGAAAGGGGGAGAGTGCTGACACACTGCACAGATTGCAACCAATGTCACGAAACAATTTGTGTATAAATTTTTGAATGAGAAACTAAAAAAAAAAAAACTCTTAAGTGCATTTCTCAACTGCGACTATCTTAAAGACTTCCTAGATTAAAGTCCTCAGTGCCCAACGTTGCTACCTAAAGCAAGATTCAGGAGAAATCACCACATAAAAAAGTCCTCCTATTAGTTCTTAAAATAAAAATTCCTTGAGGTTCATATGAACCATTTTGACAAAACCTGTGCCACAGGGGGCCCTGATCCATAGTTCTGGTTTGTGATTCCTCAAGCAAGGGGAGTGGGATTCTAGAGTATTTTCAAACTCTTTTTAATTTGCTTTTTATTTTTTTTTTAGTGGTAGAAGAAAAGGGCAGAGAAAGATCCCCAAGCTTTTGCAATTCCAGTCACTGTCACAATCGGCAGCTTCAATAAGTAGACCCCAGGGGCTGGAAACAAAGGATTCTTTACACCTTATAGCCAAAGTAAGCTGTGTCACTGAGCTTTATTAAGAGACAGGGAAAGCAATTTAGAAAGCTTAAATGCGCCATTCTCAGAGGGAAGGATTTTAGTGTGTTCTGCTAGAAACTTAGATGATCCCTAGGTGGTACAAACAGGTGGCGCTCAACTACTAACCTAAAGGTTGGTGGTTTGAATCCATCTAGTAGTGCTGCAGAAGAAAGGCCTGACAATTGTCTTCCATTACAATTACAGCCAAGAAAACCCTACGGAGCAGTTCTACCTGTAGTATTACATGGGGTTGCCACGAGTTGGAATCGACATGATGGCAACGGGTTCTGGCTAGAAACTTAAAACCAGCAGCTCAGGGTTCTGTCAGTAAAAATAAGTGCTTCTACTAAAGGTCTGTGATGTGTGCTTTACATGTATTAACTCATCTGGTCCTACAGGAAAATAGGCAAAGACTAGCGAGAAGAAGCCTGCCAAAGATCACACAGCTAGGAAGTGGGAAAGCTGGGATATGAACCGAAGGAATGTGCTCTTATGACTCTCATGCATATTTGTTTTGCTTCAACTAGTTACTGATCTGTCTCCAAAGTTGTTTTGAAATACACTTTTTAAAATGAGGAACAAATACGGAACAAGATGAGCAAGCAAATGACACGCACGTAAAACAAAAACCACTTGCTCTTTTAAAGAAAAGCAGCTTCTAGCCATAACCGCTGTCTTCCAAGCCCACTGTCATCAGCTCCAGCTCTAACTAGCTGTGGTAAATACATCCTTTGGTTTCTGATACAGATGCGAAACTAATCTTAACAAAACTGAAACCGCAATCGGCACTGAAAAGATTTAGGTACTAAAGCCACAGAAAATGAATACAGGCAGTCCCCAGATTACAACGGGGTTCTCTTTCACCAACTCCATGGGAAGAGGGTTCTGACACATTTTGAATACTTTTTCTCTTTTAGTTTTCATTATTATTGCCTTTTATTATAAGTGTCTTTATAAATCTGATCTTTGCCTTTGAGAGTAACATATAAACTTATATATTTTAAGTAATACGTAGTACATATTACTAATGATAAGATGTACAAAAAAAAGATGGTTTTAAGTGTGCTTTGTTGTTTAACACGAATATGTCGTAAGTTGGGGATTACCTGTAGTATTTTATAGAGAGAAAAGTATAACACCCAGAGGATTAGTTACTAAACTGACTTCAGAACCCTTAATCTTAACCGCAAAATTTGATTCTGTGGTACAAAACTGTCACAAGGCAAACAATCTTGAAACTACTTGCTGTTAAAAACTGGTTTGCAAAAAACCAAAAAACAAAGCAGTACCTGTTTCATATGGTTATCCTAAAACTAAATGAAAGAAAGTATGTAAAATCCACAGTGCCTGTGTTCAATAACTGGTAATGCTAAAAAAAAAAAAAAAAACCTAGTTTGCATCTAGGGGAATATTTATAACTGAATTTAACTTGATTTGCTATTATTTGATATACCCAAATATAGCAATATAAGCAAATCCACAGGTGACATGCAATTCAACATTTAGCAGCTGCATAGTCTAAAGGACACATTAAAAATCAGTTGCAATCCTTACTGTCTGCGGATAGGAGAGGGGGCGTAGTCTGTCATAATCTTCTTGTCCAGCTGTATCCCATAAGCCCAGATTCACCGGTTTTCCATCTACCATAACATTGGCAGAGTAGTTGTCAAAGCTGTCAAATGGAATAAGAATGGTTAGTCTTTAACCTTGGAGCATAAAGGGCAGAGGTGGGACACAGGAGCTGTGCTGAGAAGGCTAGCTGGGCCTGAGGCCGCCAAGACAGCAAATGCCCTGCAGGCCCGAGGAGAATCCTTAGTCATGAAGTGGGGAAGCAGGGGCTGAAGTGTAAGGGAAACAAATGCAGGTGGGAGAAACAAAGGACAAGCTACTACATTTAATGGAGGCAAATTACCATCAGGAATTAAAAGCCTTTAAGATTTTTCTCTCCAGGAAGAAACAAAGTATAAAATTAGTCCTTCTTTCAAGACCCATTTGTTACATTTTCAGGTACATATTTTGTTCATTTTCAACAAGCATGCCACCATAGCTGCCTCTGCTGTGCTTCCAAACTGGCTGCTTGAGCGCAGAGTGGTACTTGGGAAAGTCCTGGTCGTCTGGGCCTGTAACCAGAGTGCTGGTAACATGTAACAAATCTGATTTTAGAAGCTACCTGTCATGGATTGAATTTTGTCCCCCAAAAATGGGTGCAGCAACTTGGCTAGGTCATGATTCCCAGTATTGTATGACTGTGTAATCTGATGTGATTTCCTTATGTGTTGTAAACCCTATCACTATGATGAGATTATATGTGAGCTCCTTATGTGTTGTAAATTCTATCACTGTGATGAGGTTATGCTGATGAGGTTTATAAGATTAGATAGTGTCTTAATCCAATCTCTTTTGAGATATAAAAGAGAGAAGTGAGCAGAGACACAGGAACCTCACACCACCAAGAAAGCAGTGCTGGGAGCAGAGTACATCCTTTCAACCTGAGGTTCTTGCACTGAGATGCTCCCAGACCAAGGGAAGACTGATGCATCACAAAGACCTTCCTCCAGAGCCGACAGAGAAGACAAAGCCTTGCCCTGGAGGTGACACCCTGAATTTGGACTTGTAGCCTACTGGATTGTGAGAGAATAAATTTCTCTTTGTTAAAGCCATCCCCTTGTGGTATTTCTGTTAGAGAAGCAATAGATGACTGAGACACTACTGTATAAAATGGTCAAGTGAGTGTACCAGATTACACAAATATTTCAATTAACTTGAAGCTGCTACATGCAAATTAGGAAGAGGCAGCCCAGAAAAGCCCACTGACTGACAGAGAAAAAATAAGGCTGACATTCTGCGGCTGGAGTACGCTGAACTACCCAGAGAGCAGATCGTTAAACAACCAAACAAAAAACTGGCAGTGCAATTTGAACCAGGGCAAGCGCCAAACTGAGAAGAAAACACAGCAACCTTTAAAATAAAAGCCAAGAACTTATTTGTATATACCTTTAAGACCAAAACTTCAGGAGTCTTACTACACTACAATAGCAAGTCGAGTAAGGTTCCAATGTGGCTTATACAGTTTTAAGACCAGACTGGCTTTCATAAAGGAAAGGTCTGATGAATGTAGTAATTCTCCTTCAGTAAGAAAAAAAAAACGGATTATTCAAGAACTGTTACTGTGACAATTATTTTCCATCTGGGAAAAAGAATCAGGTGCCTGCCTCATCAAACTAATCCCTGGCCATCAAGTCGATTCTGACTCGTAAGGATCCTATGGGGCAGAGCAGAACTGTTCCATACGGTTTCCAAGGCTGTAATCTTTATGCGAGCAGATGGCCAGGTCTTTCTCCTGCAGGGTGACTTGGTGGGTTCAAACTGCCAAACTTCTGGTTAGCAGCTGAGTGCTTAACCACTGTGCCACCAGGGACCTGCCTGCCTCATACTACACCAAAAAACAAGTTCTAAAGGAATTAAATATAAAAACTTCAGCCATGAAAAGCCTAGAAAAAGATACTAGAGGATATTTTTGCATCATTCAAGTAGGACTGGCCTTCCTAAATAACACATAAAAACGCAGAACCAAAAAGGAGGAAAGAGGAAAAGTGACATGTGGACATAAAAATTTTAAACTTCTAGATGGGAGAAGACACCATAACAAAGTTCAAAGACAGGTGAGAGACAGGGGGTGGGGATTAATATTTCTTATGTACAAAAAGTTCCACCAGTAGGAAAAACTTTCAGTGAAAAACTAAGCAAAGGATTTTCAACAGGCAAGTCACAGAAGGCTACAAATGAGTAGTAAACCTTTTGAGTAAGATTCAACCTCGATGATCAGAAATGCAAATGACAGTAATGAGGTAACTTTTTTCACTCAGGTTAACCACACTGTGTATTAAGGGGCAGCTTCAGTCGCAGCTGGAAACCCTGGTGGTGTAGTGGTTAAGAGCTACTCTGCTAAGCAAAAGGTCAGCAGTTAGAATCCACCAGGTGCTCCTTGGAAACTCTATGGAGCAGTTCTACTCTGTCCAGTAGGGTCACTATGAGTCAGAATCAACTCGACGGCAATGCGTTTGGGTTTCTGGTTTCAGTCACAGCTGGGGACAGTGACAGCCTTTTGAAGAAGAACTGGGTAAAATCTTTGAAAATTTAAAACATACATTCCCTTTCGATTTGGCACAAATCCATTTCTAATAACGTATCCTACAGAAATACTAGCAGATGTGTGCAATGCCATTTAACACAGCACTGTTTGTAAAGCAAAAAAAGGAAACCACCTAAATGACCAGTGGTTAAATCAGCCACAGTACTTCATAATCATTAACAGCTGTCTATGATTTAGCTCCATCTACATGTGCAGACAAGGAGGTCACCCACAATAAATTCAGGACAGTATGATCCTACTTACATCAAAAAATATACTTGCATGACACTTTAGACAGCCCATGTGAGACAGAGAGAGAGTGTGAACGAGGGAGTGTGTGTGTGAGAGAGAGAGAGCGAGAGCACAGGTGGGACTTTAGGGGCTTCCTCCCACCAGCCTCCTGTCCCCAGCAGGCAGGGGAGACAGAATGACCAGGGTGGTGCATCAGAAGCCCTGACTACATGGGGCTCCCTGGTAACCCCATCATCAGAAAAGCACTTTGCCATCTCCACCCAATTGTGCTGCCCATTGGGAATAAGCCACTCAGAAGCCAATCGCCAATTCCATCCTCCCGCACACCAGCCCCCACACCCTGGTTTCAATTCCAAAGCCCCATAACTCAACAGTGACATGATTACTTGCCATAAAAGGCCAATTAAAACAAAGTAATGTTTCATGGTCCAGTTCCTTGCTCCTTCATGAACAGAACCCAGAGACCCAAACTGATCTGAAATGCTTACATTTTCCAGTCTCAATACTTGAGAACTAGTTTGTTAATCTTCTTTTGTTCCCTCAGTGATTAAAAATCAATTAGAAAAGCTGCATTTGTTCCATCACTATGAGGAAACTTTATACCAGATTGTCTAAGTAGTTTTAAAAAAAAGGAGGGGGGGCAAAATATAATTAGACTTTAGTGAACGTTTGAGAGGAAAAGTAATCATATCTATTGATGTGATCTGTTGGCTTTATAGCACAACAAATAGTCAAGGAATCCAAGTTAACTCCCAATTTAACCAAAGATACTTACACAGTGGGGATATATTCTCCAGGAAATGCATTGGTTGTGTAACTGATCAGTAGGCAAGTTTTACCTACAGCTCTGAAGAGAAAAGAGAAAAAAAGGTGTAAGTTGCTTAGTCAACATAAATACTGAACTTCTACCATAGCTTTCATTAATCTGTTAAATTAATTGCTTAAAAAATCAAGTAATAAACACTTAAGTACTTAGCACTAAAGAAAAGTTTCTACAACATTTAACACTACACACACGGTTTTATGCAGAAATGTAAAGTAAACAAACTAGAATTTCTCAGAAAAGTAGAGTCAGGAAACTTTCATTCTGTCTAGGTACGTGGTAGGAACTCTGATAGTCAAGAAATAGTTGTTAAATAAGCACAAGGTCCTTTTCAAGAGGGAAAATACTTTAAAATTTAAAAGTCTTTTTGTAAAGATCCACAGAAGCGTCTTTCATCCAAGAATCTTAAATTCTTATCTTCAAATTATTTTGTGAGTAACACTAACATGCAAACATAGCTTCCTCTTGCAACTTATACTCTGTGACTTTTATAAGTAACTTACTTTGCCACCTTTAAGTGGCACAGCTCAAAATCCCACCACCTTCCTAAAGCCTGACCTCTGGCAAGCAATAATGGTGCTCTCTTAAGAAAAAGTGCTTAGTCAATACACCATACACATTAACTGTTCTCACGTTAATTCACCTGTTTTCATGTGCCCTTCCCTCACCCCACAGGCCACCACCAGCTTTTAAAGCAAGGGCTATGTAGCACAAGGTGCAGGCAAGTCCTGGCAACGCAAGGTATTCCAGACATATCAATACATGTCTCAGGGACGATGAAGTAAACCTCCCAGACAGCTGCAGAGAAGAAAGTAAACGAGGAATGTGTGCAGATCCTCCAGAGATGGACACTCCATCTGCATAACTGGTGACGGATACAGACTACTATTATGCTATTGGGCAGAACTCAGAGGGGTGGTTGCCAAGTCTCCAAGCCACCTGAAATTATTTTCAGCTAAAAATTAAGATTGCAATAACACACGTGAGGAAAGTACTCCTTAAAACAATCATCTACAGGAGACCAAAAGGACAACATATGCCCGAAAGCAAAGATGACAAGGCAGGAACGCGCAGGAAAACCGGACGAATGGAAATGGGAAACTGAGGGTGGTAATGAGGAGAGTGCTGACTCACTGTGGAGAGTGCAACCTATGTCATGAAGCAATCTATGCATGAACTACTGAATGGGAGATGAATCTGCTCTGTAAACCTTCACAATCATTAAAAATAATTTTAAAAAAATTAAGATCGTTGACCATTAGCGAAGAAAAGGTCTCCTCCAACTTGTACAACATTGATGGCAACTGCAGGGTCGTCTGAAAGCCCAATTCACTGGCATCCTAAGGATTTACCAAATGGTCTCCTTAAACGACCCTGATATCCTCTGTTGGCATACCAAGGTTATGGTGATACAATGAAGTTCTGATTTACAATATTTTGTCATTCAATCTGGACTACTATAAATTAGTATGTTCACCATGAAGAAAAGTAAGTGCTTTTTTATTTTCCCTCACACTCCTAGCTTCAGTGAGAACCTCTCAACAAGAGACTACAGGCCCATCCAGTCTTGCCAAGACTTGTTGCACTGCTAACATTATTAAAGGCTTAACAAAAGTTGGAACTGCCCGCCCCAAAGACCTCCAGAGTCAAACGTTACATCATCAGTTAGGAGGTAACTTCCAACTCCTAAAGGCTTTTCTAAACAGAAATGACTCACTGGACATACATTTTGTTAAAAGCTTAGAATGTCAAATAAACCTGTGTGAGCAGGAGCCTAAGCTTTGGAGTCATAATCCTGGATGTGAGACCCACGGACAACTCTATCACTTACTGGCTGTAATTTATTGGCAAGTTTCAACTTCCCTATGCCGACTCCATCACAAAACTATTGGGAACATTAATTCAATTGCAATTTATGCCAGCATATCGTGTGCTATGCCAGGAAGTGTACTAGGTGCTAAAGATACTACAATGAACCAGACCACATGAAGTTTATTCAGTTATTAAATAAAAACAAGAATACAGCCATTATATAAAAAATGATAAGCACGATAAAACCCACTGCCGTCGAGTTGATTCTGACTCACAGCAACCCTATAGGACAGAGTAGAACTGCCCCATACGATTTCCAAGGAGCGACTGGTATTTGAACTTCCAACCTTTTGGTTAGCGGCCACAGCTCTTAACCACTGTGGTTAGGAGGCCACAGTAGTTGATGCTTATGAGAAGTGGGGGCAGGATAGGAAGCACATTCTAGGCAAAAGAGGCCCAGATCTTACAGCAGCCCAGTGTAACTGAAAAACAGAAGCAGCAAGGGAAAAATCTGAAGAGGTGTCATCTCTTCTTGTTAACATGGTGGGACCTGATCCTATTTGGGAAGCCAACTTGGGGAAGTTGACAAGAAACCATTAATTAGATTTGCATTTTTACAAGAAGCTCAGGGAGCTGGGGCTGGAGACAGGAAAACAAGGAAGTTGCTCTGCTTTCCAGGAGCCACCCAAGGTGGTCTGGACTGTGGAGGGACATTAGGAGAATAAGCCATTTCAAGAGCCATTAGGCACGAGGCAGAACTAGGTGGCTTGGCCATGGCTTGAATGTGGTAGCTGAGGGGTAGGGTAGCATCTATGGCCATCATAAGGGAACCTTTTTCAAAATTACAAATGTTGTTGTATAAAAATGGTCATAGTTACTGCTCCCTGTTGAGTGGATCTCCATCTTCACAATGCCGAGCACATCGTAAGCATTCAGTAGTGGTATCCTAACCTGGCCCAATCAGCCCATTCCCTTACAAAGATCACCTGCCATACCACTGCCCTCACCCTTCTGCCAGCTGGCATTGGTTGGGCCCATCTAGCTAAGGCTCACTTTCCTCCCTGCTTTGGTTCAATAGCCCTAAACCTAAGTCACGACTGCATGGCTGGGCTCACATTAAGACCTCGGCCCTGCAGTGAAAGTACTATCCAGCTATCCCTCACCTACCCACGTAGTCAGTTATTTGACCAGTTCTTGAGCGGATCACAAACTACAGCAAAAACAGCCTTGCTAACATGAAAACTTTTTTATTTTCCTGATTTTTTTAAAAGTCCCTTAGTGTCAACAATAAGTAGCAATAAAGGTTTTTACTGTTACCGTAAAGTGTCTCATAGTACTACTTCCTCTAAGACCCTGTTCTGAGTCTCTTCTATGTATATAAGAAACAAGCCATTACTATATGACCAAATGGGTCTTAAAAAACCAGATGCTGTGGAGTCAATTCCAACTCATGGCTCTTAGGTGTTCTAAAATTTCCCTTCCTGAAGCTAGGTCTCCAGCTGAAGCATCATCTTTGGAAAGGTTTACCTGTGAAGGACTTCAAGATAACTGGCATAATCTGATACTGACTGAAATTTTACTACCAATCATTAATTGCTACAAATCTGTAACAGTGAAAAAGGTTTCACCCTTAAGAACTTCAAAATCCTGGCAAAATCTGATAGCAACTAAAATGTTACTACCTTATTTATTTGCTACAAATCTGTAACAGTGAACAAGATTTGCTACAAATCTCCATTCTATAAGAAAATGATTAAATTGTATAATTCTGACTTTTTATAATAAGTGCACATTCTACCTTTCATTAAATATTTACTTTTTTTTTTAAATGGACAACAAAAAAGAAACAAAATGGTTGTTCACCTCCCATTGGTGTATTTACTCACTCCTTTTAAATATACTACACAAATAAATTCTAGAGGTCAATGTCAACATCAGCACTAGGCAAAGTAACAGCCTTCTCCACATAAAGAATGGAAGCTGTATTTGGTCACAGCCTTGATTGATGCTGCCTAGAATTTTTGGAAGTTACCGTTTGCTCTGGAATTTCAAATTTTATATATTCTGCCACTCGGTTCAACTTCTTTTAATCTTTGAAAGATGCTGTAACTCTAGAAAATAAACATGAGTCTATTGGAAGAAAGCTCACATGGTTCCATACTGGATTCTCCCCTAGATTATGACATTACATTTAAAAAAAAAAATCTCATGTGTTTCTCCTACCGTACCTTGTAGAAATAACCAAGATTCAAACCAATAACTTAAGCTCCTATTTTGGTCTTCATTTTTTCCTTAAGAGGAATTTTAAAAACTTCTTACTTTTTTTTTTTTTTTTTAAAATACAAATTGCAGTGTTACGTCATGAAATCTATAAGCCAAAACTAAAAAGCACTCTATCAGTAAATCTGAAACAGTGGCAATTTCCCTACATTAAAAAAAAGGGGAGAAGGGGATCCAGGAAGCTCAAAAACAAGAACTTTCTGAGTGTGTGTTTTTTTTTCCTCCTTATAAATTGATCTTAAACCCAAAAAACCCAGTTATTAAGTCAATTCCAACTCATAGCGACCCTACAGGGCAGAGTTAAACTGCCCCATAGGGTTTCCAAGGAGTAGCTGGTGGATTCAAACTGCTGACCTTTTGGTGACTCTAAAGACAACTGTAAACCAAAATATGGAGCCAGTACTGCTATTGAGAGCAGTCCCTGGGTGGCTCAAACGGTTAAATGCTTGATTACTAGTCAAAAGGTTGGCTGTTAGAACTCACCCAGAGGCGCCTCGGAAGACAGGCCTGGCAAACTGCTTCCAAAAGGTCACAGTTTGAAAACTTTATGGAGCAGTTCTACTCTGCACACATGGGGTTGCCATGAGTCTGAACTGACTCGACACCAGCTCACAACTGCTCTCCAGAAGTACCTAGATCTGTAGTAATGTGAATTGTAAGTATCAAACAGATACTCATACTTACTGAATAAGGTGCTTGATTTACAATGAGAAACAGAGCATAGGGATTCTATACACAGTATGCCATTAATAAATGTGTAACTGGAGATAATATGTTCAGAAAATATATGAATTAACAGAGTAGTTTAGTGCTACAAAAACACAAAACCCAATCTGATAATCTGATGTTTTGCTACTAGCAGGAGACATCACAACCAACTTATAGAAAGCCAACCATTATCACCATTACAGGCGTAAAAAAATAAGACTGTGTGAAGTTTCGAGAACACTCAAGGCTGAAGATACTATCTACAAGAAATTTCAAATCTGAAGCAGGCTTTATTCTAGACCACCCTCCTAGAACCATCAAGTCTAACCCTGGGGTTGTTGATATCTGAGTCAGTCAAAGATCCAGAGTTCAAAAACAACAATTTATACCTAACTGCACACCACTCCCATCTTCTTCAAAATCAACTCCTCTATTAAAACATTCCTTCTGATACCGGGGAGATATGTGATAAAGCAAATACAGCAAAATGGTGATTATAGAAAATAAGTGGTAGATATATGGGTGTTCATTGTACAATTCTTTCAACTTTTCTATGTTTGAATTTTCATAGTAAGATGTGGGAGGAAAAATATTCTCTCTGTTGACATGTAGTAACTGCCTTGGAAGCAGGACTCTAAAAAAAAAATCTCCTTTCTAGGAAAATAGCAATGATAAGACAGAGCTACCTGGTGACACAGAGACAAAAAAGTAGGAAGTACAAAGAGTTTAGGTGACTAATATAAAAGATAAAAATATTATAAAAAGGTGAATTTATGGTTTCTAAAAATGGATTCTTGATACTCCTCCACTTAAACTAACCCCAAACCTTTACTGGGCTCATCATTTGAAATAAATTAATTAAAATGTATAATTTTACCAACCTAGACCATAGTCAAAGACTAAACCTAAATTTGGAAACCAGTACAGAATCCAAATACTTTTACAATAGGTTAAGAATAAATATGGAACCCCATGTCTCAAGAGGAAAACACACAAAGACCATTCATGAAAAGCTTAAACAAATTCATGGATCACACTACCACTGATTGCTCAATGGAAGGAGAGATTAAGTAGTGTACATTCCTGTGAGGATGACATCATGGAAGGCATTTATCATAATCAACTAAGAGAGTTTCTGGACAGCAATGTTAGACACTGGGCTGAAAAGACTACCAGCCCAATGTGGACACCATATTTGTACGAGCGAAATGAGGAGGGCTTCAATTCATTCCCTCCGGTTCTTCTAGCCAACCAAAGCCAAAACACCAATATTAAAAACGGTTGTTTGTATCTAATTGAATGTGAGATGCTATCTTCCCTAGGTAAAATCATGGGGCAGAGGTCCCCCACACAGAGGTGATAAGTAGTGTGTTCTGGAAGGACTATTTTAACAGAATAAAAAACTATCAAATTTCATCTCATATTTTATACCCAGTGCCAATTAGACTGCTACATAGGAAATAATCCATTTAGAATATATGATGACTGATTTTAGTTATAAGACAGTTACAACACAGCTTTTAACTATAATTCTTAAGAATATTTTTAAATATTCTAAGTATTCAATATTTATATATCTAACATATAATACTCAGTATATTATAAATATTTTTAAATAAGCAAGCTTCAATCAGTTCACCTTTACTGCTTAAACTGCCCTCAAATTGCTTGAAATTCCACAACACTGACTTCTTAGCCCCACAAAATTTAGACCCATACTTACAGCTTTAACAATTTTTGAATAAAAGAACTTTCCATCTACATCATCAGGAATATATTTTATTCTGTTAAAAGCTGAACAGTATTTTTGATATGGAAAACTATTCATCTAAATTTTTCACTGAGGTAGTATTTGCCACTTACCATCACTTATTTCAAGTAATAACAGCTGAAGTTTTTTGTAAAGGTACATTTCACTTCTAATGTTGCTTAGCCTTAGTCAATATCAAGAATATCAAGTACAGCATTAGAAAGCTGATTGAAAAGTCGAGGTCAGGAACTGTGTTTTATGCCTAACACTCCCTCACAGAGCCTAGCAGTGCTCATAGTAGCAGAAGCAGCAATAATAAGAATAATGGAAGCTGGCACTAATAAGCACTCACCCAGGGACTAGGCACCTGGGAGGCACTTAATATACAGCATCTTGTTTAATCCTTGAGACTTCCCCCTTGAGGCACCTCTCTTGGGGGGATAAGTGATCTACTCAAGGTTACCCCATAAGTGGTGGGCTGGATTTGAAGGAAGGATTCAGATCTCACGGTAGGCATTCAACAAGTTATTTCACTAAATAAGCAAATCAATACAATTAGTGTTAAACAGCTATATGTATCTGCTAGTACTTTTTTTTTTTTTTAATATATTTTATTGTACTTCAGGTGAAGGCTTACAGAACAAGTAGTTTCTCATGAAACAGTAGTACACATGTTGTTTTATGACATTGGTTAACAACCCCACAACATATTAACCCTCTAAATTCGCAACCTTTTTTTTTTTTTTTTTGGTGAAAATACACATAGCCAAAGATACACCGTTTCAAAAATTTCTACATACACAGTTCAGTGACATTGACTACGCTCTTCCAGTTGTGCTGTTATTCTCACTTAAGATGAAGGCTTACAGAACAAAACAGTTTCTCATTTAACAGTTACTACAAATGTTGCCCTGTGACAATGGTTAACAATCTCACAACACATCGACAATATCCTTACTCAATCTTGTGTTCCCTATCACCAGCTTCCTTGTGCCCTTCTGCCTTCTGGCCCTTGTCACTGGACTCCTGTACCTCGTTAGTCTCATTTGGTTTTACGGGGCTGTCCACTCCCAGGCTGAACGGTGAACCTCGGAGGTAACTTCACCACTGAGCTAAAAGGGTGTCTGGGGGCCATACTCTCGAGGTTTCTCCAGTCTCCTTTAGGCCAGTAAATCTGGTCTTTTTTTTTGTGAGTTAGAATTATGCTCTACATCCTTCTCCAGCTCTGTCCAGAACCCTCTGTTGTGATCCTGGTCAGAGCAGTCAGTGGTGGTAGCCGGGCACCATCTAGCTGGAGTACTTATATTTTTGCTTTTGACATTTTAAGATAAGATTATTACAGTCTATGGTTGAAAATGGAATTATCTGCAATCTATCGACTTAAAAAAAATAGTATGTTTTATTTCATATTCTAGGTATTGGGAGCTCTGGTAGTGCTACGGCTGCTAATCAAAGGTTGGCAGTTCGAATCCACCAGCTGCTCTTTGGAAACCCTACGGGGCAGTTCTACTCTGTCCTATAGGGTCGCTATGAGTTGGAATTGACTCGATGGCAACCGGTTTGGCTTTGGCAGGCGTTACTGATTTAGCATTTCTAACTTTTAAAGGAAATTCAGATAATTAAAAATGTTTCTAAGAAAAAGTAACATGTGTTTAGTCAATTCATTACGCAAAAGGATCAAAACTTCATTTAAATGCATCTACTGATTTCACACTTAAGCCAATTAACTGAATGTGTTTTAGTCAAATAACAGAAAGTAAAGCTTTCTTTTAAACCAAAACCAAACTCGTTGCCGTGGAGTCAATTCCGACTCAGGGTGACACCAGGTGTTACAGAGCAGAACTGCTTCACAGGGTTTTCTTGGCTGTGATATTTACAGAAGCAGATTGCCAGGCCTTTCTCCCACGGTGCCTCTGGGTGGGTTTGAACCACCAACCTTTAGCTTAGCAGCTGAGTGTAAACCGTTTATGCCACCCATTGGCCTTAAAGCTTTCTTTTAAAAGGTTAAAAAATAATAATAATAACATATATATTCCTAAGCAAGAGAAACTTACAATTTTTAGTTATATACATAGAACCACCAAGTGTTAACGTCCTTCACATTTCTGAGTCTGACAAATCAGTCAGACTGGCATCTTAATGAAAAAAAAAATCAGTTGTCTAATTGTTCTTCTTGCATCTGAAATTGTTATATAGATCATTTCAACAGATTAAGAATAGTTGCAGTTATCCAAATAAGATGATAATTAATAAATTCATTTAGAGGCATAAAAGCAAAATCCGTACTAATGACAAGTTTGGAGAACACTAATCAAAAAGATCAGTGATACCAGAACTCTTCCTTCAACTACACACTTGAGAATGTACCAGTTGCATTCTGAATTTGATGAAACTGGTAGTGATTCTTTGAGCTTCCTTGTTAATACCAAACTACATGAGCAATGCTGAGATGCACAACTTTGCTTGGATTATACTGAGATTCTTGTTTCTATGGGAGGAGAAAAACTGCATAAGACAAGTCTTGTCTTCCTCTAGGGCCTGGAACCCCCACAGACAGTAATGAAAAGAAATGCCTTGAGTCACAGGGCAGCTCAGCTCAGGGATCCTGTTCTGCTACATCTCATACCTAACGCATTAAGCCAATTTTTTTTTTGTGGGGGCACCACAGCACGTTCAACGAAGGGAACACTTAATCACACTAAACTTCTTCCTTCACAGCTAAAATCTTAAACGTCTCTCCCAGAGAGCAAATTGACAAAAGCAACACAAAAAGAGCAGATGAGAAACTTAGGGGGCAGTGAGTTTATGCTAACGAGGAAGGAACAACTCAGAAAACGAGGGTGAGGAAGATTGCACAACTCGAAGAATGTAATCAGTGTCACTGAATGGTACGTGTAGAAATTGTTGGTGTATGTTCTGTTCTGCATAGTCTCAACAACAAAATGAAATGAATTATTCCAAAAAGTTTCTTCAATAAATAGCAAAAATAATCATTTAAAAATCCTAGAAGTGGCGAAGTGCAAGAAGAAGAAACCTCATCATAAATAAGTTTGGGGTCGCCAACCCCGCCCAGGAAAACATTCACCCAACATTAGTAACTTGACCACTTTTACCCATGAAAGCGCTCAACGGGGTGAATGGGGCACGAGAAAGTTCTATAAAAACCAAGGAAAGTCCTTTTTTAAAAAGACGAGTCTAAATCCCACCTAATCGACACGCAAAGGAGGGGAGGGTGGGAAGCCAGCGCTGGGAGGTGAGTTAGGCATTCGGCGACTCGGGCCCCGACGGTCACCACCGGCCAGGAAGCAGGGCAAGAACAGGAGGGTGGAGTTCACTTTCCCTCCAGCCGGCGCTCATTCCCTCCTCCACTTACAAAAAAAGGCGGAACCAGGCCCGCGCCGCCCGGTCCCGGGAAGA